GAGTTGTATTTATTGTCTAAAAAATCTATATACAGAAAGATCTTCCCATCCAGCTTTCCTATTAATAACAAGTTCACTATTCCAACCTTTGGTTTTTAGTTTTTCAGTGACTTCTTTAGGTTTATTTCTAGCACAGAACAAAATATATGCAATTCCATTTTCTGATAAAATTGAATCAAAATTATTTAATAATCTTTCTGTAACATCCATACCTTCTGGACCACCTAAAAGTGCAAGATCCAACCATTTATAATCATCTTCTGTTTGAGGTATTTCTGGAACTTCTTCAGCTGGAACATAAGGAGGATTGAAAATCATAATATCTATTTGATTATTTCTTATTGAAGTTGTTAAATCTGACTGTATAGAATCCAAATAATTTGCACCACCATTTTTGATACTTGTTGCCTTGGAACTTTTACAAGCATGTGGATTCACATCAGTAGTTATATAGAGACCATTGGGTATTATATATTTGTGACAAAATATAGTGACAACACCTGAACCTGAACCTATTTCAACAACTAGTGGGTTTTTGAATGTTTTTTGAAGGTAAGCTTGTTCTTGTTCTAAGGCATCTAAAAGTAAGAAAGAATCTTCTGCTGGTTCATAAACTTTTTCAAAATCAGCGTCGACTATTGGAGTAGAGTACATATTCAACAAATCTTGATCCCAATATCCTCAAAATCTTCAAGTAATTAGCGCATTGAAATAATTGAAATGAAATCATCTCTATGGTATAACTTTTCATTCCCGGTAAGCACACTCCGAAGGCCATTAAAATCTCTCGTCAAAATGCTTTAAACAAAAACTACAAAATCCATAAAAGAATCACAACTTCAACAATCATACAACAAAGAAAACAATCGTCACAATGCAAATCAAAGTGAAAGTGGGTATTTGTTGATTTTGAAGTAGGAATCAGAACAGTCATACTAACAATCCATTAGACATTAACAGGAAAAGAAGTAAGTAACAATTCAGCGGGTTTTTTTATGTCAAATGTTCAAGTACTGACAAACCTCTCAGATCAACATTGATGTTGAAGGATCAGACAAAGTAAGTGATTTTCAGATGATTAACCCATAATTATGGTCATGCTAACATCAACAGATCCTACGTATCAAGGAAATAATGGAAGAAAAAGAAGGTATTCCTCCAAGTCAACAAAGATTAATTTACGGTGGTAAACAAATGTGAGTACACCCAACACACTCGAAACAACCTAGAATAATCAGAACAAGACTAACAAACGACACAAGGAACGATGACCAAACCGTGGAATCATACAAATTAGAAGCTGGTGCCCAATTGCACTTGGTTTTAACTCTTCGTGGTGGTGCTTCAATATAAAGGATTAGAAATGGCTGATATTACGTAATTTATGATTAATTATTGTTATTTTTTTGACGTTGTAGATTTAGTATATACTGAAACTTTTTAGTTAGACCTTTTGTTTACATGTACTTGTATTTATGGTAAAGGAGTTAATCAATGGAAAAGAATAGAACACCCGCTGAGTTTCAAATCTCAGCAGAGCAAATTTTGCTCGAAGCTTATGAAAGAAAAGATGAACCTTTAAACAAGACAAAAGTAAACATTGCAGATTTAGAAGAACTTCATGAAGCTCAAAGACGTCAAAGACAAGAATATGAAGATGCCTTGAGAAGAAATAGATTAGATTTTGGTCAATGGATGCGCTATGCTCAATACGAAGTTGATCAAAAAGACCTACGAAGAGCAAGATCTATTTTTGAAAGAGCTTTAGAAATCAATAGTCATCATGTACCATTATGGATTAGATATATTGATACAGAATTAAAATCAAGAAATATAAATCATGCAAGAAATTTATTTGATCGAGCTGTTACATTACTTCCAAGAATTGATAAACTTTGGTTTCGTTATGTTCAAACTGAAGAAACATTAGCAAATATCATTGGTACAAGAAATGTTTTCAATAGATGGATGCAATGGCAACCTGATGTTCCAGCTTGGGATGCTTATATCAATTTTGAAAAACGTTATGATGAATTTGATAACGTGAGGAAGATCTTCAATCAATATATCAATGTTCATCCATATCCTGAAACTTGGATTAAATGGACCAAGTTTGAAGATGAATTTGGAACTTCTGATAATGTACGTGAAGTTTATACTGCAAGTATTGATGTATTATCAAGTGAAAAATTAATTGCTAGTTTTGCTAAATGGGAAGGTTTCCAAAAAGAATGGGAAAGAGCTAGAGCTATTTATAGATTTGGTTTGACTAAATTCCCTGAATCTGCATTACTTAATGATCAATTATCACAATTTGAAAAACAATATGGTGATAAAGATGGTATCGAAGATACAATCTTATTGAAAAGAAAGAAAAGATATGAATCCGAATTAAAAGAAGATCCAAGAGATTTTGATAGTTGGTGGGCTTATTTAACATTATTAGAAGATTATCCTGTGTCTGTTCAAAGAGAAGCTTTTGAAAAAAGTATTTCATTAACCCCTATAGAAATTGAAAAATATGCTTGGAAAAGATATATCTTATTATGGATACGATATGCTGTTTTTGAAGAATTAAATGATGAATTTGAAAAAACAAGAGATATTTATAAAAAATTAACTAAAATCATACCCAATAAAAAATTTACATTTAGTAAAGTATGGATCCAATATAGTGATTTTGAAATACGTCAAGGAAATTTAACTCAAGCTCGTAAGATCTTAGGTTTTGCAATTGGTTCATTTCCTAAACCTAAAACATTCAAACATTATATTCAATTAGAAATAAAATTAAAAGAATTTGATAGAGTACGAAAAATTTATGAAAAATTCATTGAAACTTATCCAAATGATTCAAATGTTTGGATCAAATATGCTGAATTAGAAGCTGATTTGAATGACTTGGATAGATCTCGTGGTATTCTAGAAATCGCTACAGAACAATTGAATGGAACAGATTCAATTAATGATATTTGGTTCAAATATGTTGAAATTGAAAGTGATCAAAGAGAATATGGGAAAGCTAGATCGATTTTCAAAAGATTTTTGGAAAGTAATAAAAATTCAACAACTATTTGGATTAAATATGCTCTTTTTGAATTAGGTATCCCAACAAAAGAACAAATTGATCAATTTGAAAAAGAACAAGCTAATCAAGATGAAGAACTTGAATTTGAATTTGATATTTCTGAAGAATCTAAAACTCGTACACGTCAAGTATTTGAAGATTCTTTAACACATTTCAAATCTCAAGGTTTGAAAGATGAAAGAGTTATTATATTAGAAGCTTTTAAGAAATTTGAACAAGTTCATGGTGATCCAACTACAATTTCTAAAATTGAAAAAAGACAACCAACAGTTGTTAAGAAAACTAAAACTTTGGATGATGGTTCAACTCAAGAATATTATGATTATGTATTCCCTGATGATAAAAAACTTTCAAAATTTTTGGAAAATGCCAAAAAATGGGCAAAACAAAACAAATAAGACATATTCCATATGTGTTTTGTATGTAATTACAATATAATTTACAATAAAAATATAGAATCATTAAATCATCGTAGCTTTTATAGTTAGTTATACATACAAAATATGTTATACATACTTCATTTTGGTTCTTCTTTTTTAACCTGTTCTAATCCTGGTGGTGGAGCTGGATTTGATGGAGGTGCTCCTAAACCAGGAGGTGCTGATAAACCAGGAGGTGCCCCTAATCCTGGTGGTGCTCCTAATCCTGGTGGTGGTGCTCCAAGGCCTGGTGGTGGTGCTCCAAGACCTGGTGGTGCTGATAATCCCGGTGGTGCACTTAGACCTGGTGGTGCACTTAATCCTGGTGGTGCCGATACACCTGGAACGTTTGGTAACCCGGGTATTGATGTAGCAGAATTGATAGTTGAGGGTATTGAGCTTGAAGCACTATTAGGAATTCCTGGTTGTAAATCTGTAGTATTGGTGGAAGTTAGTGGTGATTGAGTCGATATATTTCTCTTTTTCCAAGGTTGTTCATCTTGACCATTATTAGTATGATTATCAACATTAATATCTTTCAACATATTATCAAATTCTTGATCAACATTAAATCTTCCTTTATTTGGTGTTCCTCCATTTCTTTGTTTACAATCTCTTGCAAAATGACCTGTATTACCACAAATACGACAAACGACTTGTGAAGTATAATTAGTACGATTTGGACATTCCCATCTTTTATGGCCTCTTAATCCACAATATTGACATGGTCTATCTTCATCTTCTCTTAAAGTACCATTTAAAGCGGCTAACTCTCTTAGTTGACCACGTTTCAAATCATTTTGTCCCTCTGGTGTAGAAATTGCTCTACTAACAACACCTTTACATGCTTCAATACCTGCTTCAACTTTTTCTTCTGTATCAGCGGTAATTAAACAATGTAATGGATCTTCTAAATTGTTTTGTTGAGTAGAAACAGCTCTATTCTTACCTTCTTTAACAGAACCTTTACCTCTAATAGCAATTTTGGCACCTGAAGTTTCTTGTAAATTTCTTAAAGTATTACCTCTTGGACCTAATAAAAGTCCGATAAAATTTAATTCTGGATGTTCTTTAACAGGAATATAATATTTTTGTACCAAACTTTTCGGTCTTCTATAGTCAGTTGGAGCAACGTAATGAGGTACTAACCTTGCTGCTATATCAATCAAATGATGTCTTTCATCTTCAAGACCTTTTTTATATCTAGCTTCTCTTGTATTTGTTCTTTTACCACTTGCATCATATTGAGGTGGTGGTGATGGGGATCTTGATAATTTTTGAGGTGGGACTAAATCATTAGTGGATATCTTTTGAGTAATCTCATCAATTCTGTAAACTACTTGGTAAGCATCTAATTGTTCTGGAGTTAATATTCCATTGATCACAGTCGGTAGATTAACCGCATCTTTTATAGCATTATCTCTTCTAGTACGGCCCCATCTTGAAGTTCTTTCTGAGCCTTTGGCCACCGGAGAAGGTGATCTCCCTCTTTTCAAAGTCTCACTCATCGTCAATGATCAAATAAGCGACTACTAAAATTCCTCCTGATACAAACAATCTGAGTACCTTGTAAATTCTGTTGATGTTTATTGTCTTTTAATGCGATGGCCAAAGTTTTTTCTAAACATTCGCGAAACTTAACATCTGAACACCAACGCGCTTCAGAAAATCTCCATAAACAATACGAAATATCAGCTTCAGGAGCAAAATTGAACCAGAATTCAAATAAAAATCAATCACAATTTTGATAAACAACTGATTCTTTCAAGATGTCTTCAGGTCACGGTTTCAATGGAGGTCCCTCCCGCTGCTTTGGTGAATGGCAACGCTTCATCGAGTGCTACACCAGTGAGGAAACGTCGCATCCCGTCAAGTGTACTCCACACGCTGATGATTATTTCGAATGTCTACATCATAACAAGGAAAGAGCTCGTGTTCAAATGATACAAGCACAATTGAATAAGAACAAAGCTGATGCTAAAGAGAATGGTGAATCTCCAAACTCAATCGTTGTTACTAGACATTCATTACCTGAAACACTTGGGCTTATTGCAAATGACTCCACATCAAAGAAATAAGAGGCTCATGTTATTTATTTATTATACAATTCATATTTATTGATCATATTTATTCATATTTATTTATATTTATTTATTTATTAGAACTACAATACACACGGTTCAAAAGAAACTTACATTTATTCTAATTCTTTAAACGTAAGCCAACATTTGTCTAACGGCTTCACGAACTTCATAAAATAATCTACCAGGAGATCCATCAACAACAACATCACCATCAGAAATTTTTCTTACGGCAACAATATCATCAATAACTAAAGTACCTTCACCTTTAAATTCAACTTTATGAGAAATTGATAAAGATTTTTTCAATTCTGATAATTTAACATCACCAATAGCTAATTGTGTACTTCTAATATTTGCTAAAAATGCTGAGTCTTGTGATAATGGAGCTAAAACTAATTCATTATCATGTCTTGATGATTCCTTTTTATCCATATCTATATCATCTTTAGTATCAGCTTCAGATTTAACATCTTCCATCTTGACATCTTCATCTTTAATATTTTCTTCTTCTTTCAATTTTTCTTGTTCAATTTCCTTTTTAGTTTTAACACTACCAATAACATGAGCAACTGTGAATCCACCTGCAATTCTTTGCCATTTTAATTGATCAGCTAGTTTTTCATCCAAGAGAATATCAAATGATTGAACAGAATCTTTAGCAGATATTGGATCATTTGTTTTCAATTCAATAACTTCAAATTTATTATGTTTTTTAAACATTGTTAAAACACTTTCATTTGTTGTATTATCTGTAGAATCTGGTGATAAGAAAACTTTTTTAGGTTTTAAAGCTGGAATAATTAAAGATAATGATCTAATATCAACTAAACCTGCAAGATCAACATAAGTTAATACACATCTTGAATTTATAGCTAATTGAGATATAAATCTAGATTTTGGATGATGTAAAGCATCAAGATCTGAAGTATCATCTTGCTTTTTACCTTCATTCCATTTTTTCTTTTCACCAATTTGAACTTTATTATTTTGATTTTGTTTATGTCTTTTCATTTTACCAACGTCTTTTTCCTCTTCCCTAGTGAAATCTGAATGATTTATAATTTCACCATAATCATCAAATTTTGCCTTACGTGGTACAAATTGAAACATCTTAGCACGTCCTTTAGAAGATCTAACATCAACATCAATTGGTATAGTTTCAATTTTTTTCTCTTCACCTAATATATCTTCATCTTCAGATTCTGATTCTGATTCATCTTCAAATTGTGTTTCCTTTTTTTCAGATAATTTATTCTTTTTGGTTTGTTCTTTTAATAATCTTCTTTGTTTAACATGATTTTCATAATTTATTAGTTCATCACCTAACAATTCTTCCTCTCTAATTGGTTTAACATTTAATTGCTTTTGTAAAACAACGGGAACACCATCTTGAGCTTTACCATCAGGACTATTAGCTTGAGCCAATGATCTCCATGTATAAAATAGATCATTACCAATAGTATTCTCGACAGTTTTCTCTGTTAAAATAATTGTAGTTTTTTCATCATCACATAATGTAGTTAAAGCAGCTTGTGCAACTGAACCATCTTCAAATCCGGCACCTGATGCGAAAACAACTTTTGCACCTGGCATATTTAATAATTCATTAGGTTCAATAACTTGCACTCTAGAAGAATCAAATGGTGGTTGACCTCTTGTTTCCCATTCTCTAATAACAGCAGGTGCCATCCATTCTAACATACTACCTGCATAAGTTAAGTTTCTAGCTTTAGTATATGATAACATTAAAACTGGAATTGGTGCACTTTGTAAATGTTCATCAATTAAATGAACTAATTCCAGCATTCTACCACCAATTGAAGTTGGTAATAAAACAGTACCACCTCTTCCTAAAGTTGCATCAACTAATTCAAAGAATTTTTCAACTCTCTTTTTATGTGGTAAAACTGAACCAATTGCACTTGATGTTATAATAACTGAAGGTCTCATTAAAGTTGAATTTTGTAATAAATCAGCACCATTTAAAAAAGAATCTTTGGAATGATTCCATTGTGGTGCATATATGATTTTTTCTGGATTTTTATTAAAAGCCCAAATAGTACCACCTAAAGTATGACCAGCGTTTATAGCTGTTATTGAAAGACCATCATATTTCCCACGTAGATCTATAGTTTGAGAATGTTTCACCGTTATGATTTTATCAAAAGCTTCTTCAACATCTTTTAATTCAAATTCAGTATTTTTCAAAGGACCTATTAAACCAACAGATCTATATAAATCTAATGTAGCAACTCTTCCTAAATTAGTTGTCGGTAGTGTAGCATAAACGGGTATATTTAAATCTCTAAATGCTAAATATGCATAACAACCAATAAAATTTGTAGTTGGATGTGATAATACTATTATATCAATAGTTGGTAATATTTTATCTAAATATGAAATATCAGTAATACCATCCCAACCTGGATCTGCTAATACCCTAACACCATCAAATTCTAATAAAGCAGCTTTAGAATGACCTCCTTCAGGTGAAAGGCTTGTGTATGTGAACATTAGTAAAGTAGGATTTCAATGAAATGGATTGGAACGTCTTCTTTAAATTTGATAAATTGTTATTATTTTGATTTCTGTATTACGTACAATTTGATTTTTTTTTCAAAACATAAACTCGGACTAAAAAAACTTGACTACTAACAAAGAGATCGGAAACATCAATCGTGAGTATACACCAAAATAGCCATCTAATTCGCATTGAAATAAGTCAATTACATACCCCCTATTACACTTTCTATAATTATTCAAAAAAAATTACTCATTTCCTCCTCTAAACAAGAAAAAAACCGAATTTGATGCCAAAGCAGCAAAAATATGATTTCGCCCAGGATCGAACTGGGGACGTTCTGCGTGTTAAGCAGATGCCATAACCTACTAGACCACGAAACCACTTTTTCTTTTTTTGAAATTTTGCTGTTCGACTAGTTCGCTCTATGTTTTTATGGTTTGGCCACGGTTTCGCGGATTTTTTTCGCGCTTTTCCACCAATATTAATAAGGTAAACAAAAGATCTTGTACTTACGTGTTTCCAATATAGTGATTGCTTCAATACAATATCCAATGGCATTATTAGAAAGAGCCCATAAGACAATTGTGAGGCTGGGTTTAATACCCAAGGTCATCAAGGCATTACCAAAAATCTCAATTTTATTATCAATAATTGGTTTAATATGGATTGCAGTATTACCATTAGATGGACAATATCGTGGTACATATTTTTCAGAAAATGCATTAATGCCATCTCAAGCGTATAGTTATTTTAGAGAAAGTGAATGGAATTTATTAAGAGGTTATAGAACTCAATTGAAAGGTTTCCAAATTGATGAATTAGAAAATAATTTACAAACTATGGAAATTTGGTTAAAAGATATTGGTTATAAAACTCATATTCAACATTCTGATAAAGGTTCAAATCTTTATGGTATTTGGCATGCTCCAAGAGGTGATGATACCGAAGCTATTGTATTAGGTGCTGCATATTTTAATTCAGATAATATTTTCAATATTGGTGGATTAAGTCTTGCAATTTCTATGGCTAGATATTTCCATAGATGGAATGTTTGGTCTAAAAATATTATAATTGTTATACCAGAAAATCCAAATTCTGCATTAAGATCATGGGTTAATGCATATCATAGTGATTTAGATTTAACAGGTGGATCAATTGAAGGTGCAATAATGTTGGATTATTCTTCATCATCTGATAATTTTGAATATATTGAACTTTTTTATGAAGGTATAAATGGTCAATTACCAAATTTAGATCTTGTAAACGTTGCTGTATCAGTTTCTGAACATGAAGGACCAAGAGTTAGTATTCAAAAAACATCACAAGAAGAATTAGGAAGATTTGATTATTGGTCAAGATTAAGAATTTTAGTTAGAGGAATTATTGAATTATCTTTAGCAGGTTTAAAACCTGGACATGGGAATGAAGCTTTCAGTGGATGGAGAATCCAATCATTAACATTGAAAGCACATGGTGAATCAGGACCATATGATATAACAACATTTGGTAGAATTCCTGAAGCTATATTCAGATCAATTAATAATTTATTAGAAAAATTTCATCAATCTTTTTTTTTCTATTTCTTATTAGCGCCAAGAAAATTTGTTTCAATTGGTACTTATTTACCATCAGCTGCATTAATTACATCAAGTTATATCCTAAGTTCATTAAATCATGTTTTAAATTCAAATTTTGAAATTGTTCATTTATTATCATTTGGAGTTTTAAGTGGTGGATTTTTCATTGGTTGTATCTCGATTGGTGTTTTAATATCACAAGTTTTCCCACTGTTACCTATAGAGGCAAGTTATGGATTAATTTTATTATTTGGTATTATTTCAATATCTATTAATTTTATTAAAATTCCTGGTTCTCAAGAATTGAAAATTGTTTTAAAATCAATTTCATTATTATATTATGGTACTGTATTATCATCATTATTAGTTTTAAATTTTGCCCTAACTTTTACAATTGGTATATGTGCATTCCCATTAACTTTAATTAATGATCAACAACCTACATTTAAGAAAATTTTATTATTATTAATTTCAAATCCATTTCTTTTAAGTATTTTAATTTCTCAAGATTTTGAAAATGGATTAAGTGAATTAATTAAAGGTTTAATAATTAGTTGGGATGAATTCAATTGTCATACTTGGTTTATTATCTGTATTGGTTGGTTACCTTCATGGTTAGGAATTGTTTTAAGTTTGTTGATTAATGATGATTCAAGAACTTTAAATGAAAAGAAAACAAACTAAGATCAATATTAATACATTTAAAATACATGTAACATATAATAACTACAACAATCATTGTATTCATTTCATATATTATATTACATTAAAACTAGTTTAGTTATGATATTTCTTGAAAAAATCTTTATGAAATTGAGCCCATTGATCAATCCATTCATCACCTGGTGGTAAAAATGTAGTTCTAACATGGAATGTTCCTTCAACTTGTCCAAAACCTGAACCAGGAACAACACAAATCCCAGTATGTTGTAATAATTCTAAACAATAATATTCATCAGGTTTTAAGTTTAATTCTTTAGCTCTATTAATCATACCTGGTGTTAAGAAAATTTGTGGGAATAAATACATTGCACCTTGAGGTTTTAAAACTTCAATATTTTCTAATGATGAAAATTTATCATAAAGTGAATTAGCTTTAAATTTATAAGATTCATGTAATGATAAACGTTCTTTTTGATCTAATTCATAACTTTCATCTCCCTTTTTAGGTGGATTAACCATTAATTCCACTAAAGCCTGACCAGAAACAACAGAACATAAAGAGATTGAAGCTAATTTTAAGAAAATTTCATGAACTTCAGGTTTAAATCCAATACATTCCATATAACCACCTCTTTGACCACATTCACCAGTGACACCTTTTGAAGTTGAATGTAGAGAAACTAATTGAACATTATCATATAAATCACCATGTTTATTTTGTAAATCAGCTAAAACTTCTTTAAAAGAATGGAATTTACCTTCAAAGATATTTTCTTGATAAACTTCATCTGCAATAACAACAATCCCATATTTTGCTGCAATTGTTAAAATATCTTCAATATGTGATTTGGATAAAATAGCACCAGTTGGATTTCCTGGGTTAATAACAACAAGAATTTTTGGTTTAATACCAAATTTTTTAGAATCTAAAACTAAATTTTCAATTTCTTCCGGATTTGTTGACCAATTATCAGATTCATTTAAATAATAAGAGATTGGAGTTGCATTTTTCAAAGTAATTTGTGCAGTATAAAGCGGGTATTGAGGGATTGGAATCAAAACACCAGATTCTTTTGTACCATCTAATAAAACTTCAAAAACTGATTTAACAGCATCAGAAGCACCACCTGTTAAGTAAATATTTTCTGGATGAGCTGGAACTCCATTATCTCTTTTGGTAATGAAATGAGCAACTTGTTCACGAATATATGGAACACCTTGAGAATGAGAATAAGCGCCGAGTGAACCGATTTTATTTAATAAGATTTTTGATCTTGTTTTAACATCTTTAGAGAATTCATCAGATTCTAATAATTTTGGATTTTGTAAAATTGATAAAATTGATCTATAAAAAGTTAAAGGTTTTTGTTTTAATTGTTGTGGATTCCCAATATTTGCATTTATAATTTCTTTAAAAGGTAAAGAATCTGGATGATTTTTTAATTTTTCTCTTAATTCTTCAGCTTTGATTGGTATTAGACCTCTAACTGCATATTCAGTTTCAATTGCCTTTTGATTAAGATCTTTTTGAGATAATTTATCAGCAGGAATGAATGAACTATAATTATTATATTTAAGTTGATTTAAACGAGTCATATTGTTAATTGATGAATTATTATTATTATAATATAAAGCGCCTGGTGGGGACTTTGTTAATAGTTTTGAAGAACTTATGTTTCTAATATTTATCGAATTCTTTGTTTTTCCTAATATCATTGATTAAATTTTGAACTATTGTTGTTGTTGGTATTTATCTTATCTTTGATTTTTTTTGATTTTCTCCAGATTAATGAATTTTGCACTGGTTTTATACTAATTTTCTTGATTTATTTTCTATATAAGATATTAATATTTTATAACAATTGGAATTTTGAATTGTTATTGATATTGTTTGTTTTTTTTCAATGATAGTTTGAATATTTAGATGGATTGATTAGTTTCAAGTATAGATTGTCTAAGATTGAAACAGAGATCTTGTGCAGTTTATATACAATTTTATCGAATTATACGTCAGATTTTTTCCAATGTAATGATCAGAATTTCACGGACCGGCGATTAAATTGTAGAAGGACACATGAAAAGGGAGTTAGGCAGAAGGTGAGCCTAGCATTTAGGCAGAGGATATTACTATCTAGACAGAGATGTCCACTAGAGGAAAGTGACAACCTGCCTAAATTCTTATTCTTTCTCAATTACCACAAGAGGAAAAACCAATCGTTATAATTATACACTTGTGGATTCAAACAAGATAATTACAACAAGAGGTAAGTAATGACGGACTGGGAAGGAATTATTCCATGTCATAGTATGGGTTTAATTGGCTTTAATTGGATGTATTTCATGGAGATGGGTTTCCACTAGCTGTTTATATGTGCCGTTTAGGGCTAGTAGATTAAATCATGGTATCCATTTATCCATTGTGGTATTAGAAGAAGTACATGTTAAGTGATTGATATGGTGAAGTGTATATGATTATCTTTGTGTATTGTATATAGCGTAATATAAAGCTTATTGTTTAGTATACGTTGATTGTTTATTGTAATTGTTTATCAGACGTTGAATCTGTTTCGGGTAATTAACGTATTAGCGATAAGATACACAACTGATAGATAAAGATAATATAATCTATGGGCTCATAGAATCATATCCATATATGGCCATAAGAACTTTGGGTTTGTTAGAGTTCTAAAGTGTCATCTGTGTGGCAGAAACTATATACTCTGGTTCAATCCACTATATACTATATAATCCATGCCCTATTACTATGACTATATGTTGACTATTGTATTGTATTAAACAGTATATGGAAATTATGGAGAATACATAACTAGAATATAATAGAGCTGTACTCAAAATAATCCAGAACGTTCCAGAATACACCAGATTATAATCATCACATAAACTTCTTATTTAATAGCACAGTCCTTCCTTCTGTCTTATTATCTCTCTTACTAATTCTCTTTTCTTCATTCATTCTTCTTTCTTTCATTCTTCAATTTTTGTTTTTGATCATAAAAACGCGAATTTTAACAAGAATCAAAAATGTTAAAATTCGCGGTGGCATTTGCAATTTAATTTTTGGTGATTGAAAAAAACTAAAATTCACAAACTCAGCGCTAACAAATTAAATTATCTCGTCTAAACAACTCAATTTTAAAAGAGCTTTGATTGGGAATTCATTATTATTCTGCTCATATAAAAGTGGGTTTTCTGTTTAGCACTCATCCTCAATTGAGAAAAAAAAAAGAAAAAAGAAAGTATAAATAGCTGTGAAGTTGTCTGTTGTTTTCATAAAACCCTTGTTTTCATGATCTAAAAGAGAGGCAAAAAAGAAGTATAACAAATATTGATATAATCACATACATACATACAATTAACGAAAATGACTGATCTGCCTAAATCAAATGATTTAACCGCCACTTGGACTTTTGTCGAACCTGGTTTACAATTAATTATTGGTGGTTCTGAAGAAAATTCTGGTGTTACACCACAAATGTATATGAATGTTTATTCTGCAATTTATAATTATTGTGTTAATAAATCAAGAACTCCACAAAATTTGGCTTCTTCAACAACAAATCAATCTTCTTTATTGGTTGGTGCTGAAATTTATAAAAAATTAAAAGATTATTTAATTACTTATGTTTCATCTTTGAAAAAAAAACAAAATGAATCTTTTTTAGAATTTTATGTTAAACGTTGGACAAGATTTACTGTTGGTGCTGGTTATTTAAATCATGTTTTCGATTATATGAATAGATATTGGGTTCAAAAGGAAAGAAGTGATGGTAGAAGAGATATTTTTGATGTTAATACTTTATCTTTATTAACTTGGAGAGATGTTATGTTTAAACCAAATTCTGATCTTTTAATTAAAGAAATTTTGGAACAAATTAGATTACAAAGAGAAAATCAAGTTGTTGATACAAGATCTTTATCTGTTGCTATTAGATCATTTGTTTTATTGGGTATTGATACTCAAGATTTAAAAAAACAAAATCTGGATCTTTATACTACACTGTTTGAAACTCCATTTTTAGAAGCAACAAAATCTTTTTATGCTGCTGAATCAAATGAATATTTATCAAGTCATAATATTGTTGATTATATGAGAAAAGCTGAACAAAGAATTAATGAAGAAGAAAGTCGAGAAACTCTTTATTTGGATGAACATAGTAAAAAACCTTTAACTGATGCTTTAAATGATACTTTAATTGTGGCACATTCTCAAACTTTATACAATGAATTCAATAATCTGTTGGATCAACATCAAATTGATCATATTTCTAAGATGTTTAATCTATTCAATAGAGTTCCTTCAACTTTAGAACCTTTAGCTAAAAAATTTTCAGATTATATTGAAACTCAAGGTTTAAATGCTATTGATAATTTATTAAATGATACTCAAAATGAAGCTTCAAAAGAATCAGTTACAAATGAAGATGGAAGTATTGCACCAAAAAAACCAAATGTTTCCAAGTCACAAGTTGATCCAAAATTATATATTAAAGCATTGATTCAAGTTTATCAAATTTATCAAAAAATTGTTAGTTCAGCTTTCCAAAATAATCCAATTTTTGTTAAAGCTTTAGATAGTGCTTGTCGTAGTTATATTAATGTTAATTCAATTGCAAAACCATTAAATTCCAAATCAACTTCCAAAACTCCAGATTTATTAGCAAAATATAGTGATAATTTATTGAAAAAAAATAAAGATGCAGATGCAACAAGTGATATGAGTGTTGATGATATTATGATTGTTTTCAAATTCATTACTGATAAAGATGCTTTTGAAACTCATTATAGAAGATTACTGGCTAGAAGATTAATTCATGGTACTTCATCATCTGAAGAAGCTGAAGAATCAATTATTCAAAGATTACAAACTGAAAATTCTTTAGAATATACTTCTAAAATGACTAAAATGTTTCAAGATGTTAGAGCTTCAAATGAATTGAAAATTTTATTTAAAGAAGAAGTTACAAGAGATTGGGAAAATTCTAAAAACATTGTACCAGATTTCCAACCATTTATTTTAGCTGAAACTATGTGGCCTTTCAATTATAATAAAACTAATTTCCAATTACCAACTGATTTAGTTCCAACTTATACAAAATTAGAAGAAATTTATCAAAGTAAACATAATGGTAGAATTTTAAAATGGTTATGGTCATTAGGACGTGGTGAAATTAAAGCAAATTTATCAAAACCTGGTAAACCACCTTTTACATTATCAATGTCATTATATCAAATGGCTATAATTTTACCATTTAATGAGAATGATTCATATTCAATTGGTGAATTAATGGAATTAACAGGTTTAGATAATCAAACTATAATTGCATCAATTGTACCATTTTTAAAATATAAAATTTTAAATCAATCACCTTTAGGACAAGATAATTTAAAAAATTCAGAAACAAAAATTTCATGTATTTCAGAATATAAATTTAAAAGATTAAAAATTAATTTATTTAATGGTGTTAAACTGGAACAAAAACAAGAATCTGATGATGCAGAAAAAGAAATTAATGATGATCGTAAAATGTTTTTACAAGCTTGTATTGTTAGAATTATGAAGGCTAGAAAAAACCTAAGTCATACAAATTTAATTAATGAAGTTATTCAACAATCTCATCAAAGATTTAATGCAAAAATTATAGATATTAAAAGATGTATTGATTTATTGATTGAAAAAGAATATTTACAAAGAGGTGAAAATCAAACTTATGAATATTTAGCATAGTTTTTTTCAATCCTTTTTTATTCTTTGATGATGTGTTTGTATAAATGAATGAAACGATTTTTAAGTTTTTAATAAAATGTAATTAAAATTACTTATGTATTAACTGTGGCTATATTAAATCAATTCCGACCATCACTAATCACATGATATTCACGTGTACCTTTTTTCGCCCTCGGATTTGATTCTCGTTTGCTGCAAAATGATTAAAAAAAATCTGCTTAAATGCCCGGTTCAGGCAGCAACGAATGACATGAAAATTTAAAAAAAAAAAAAAAACTCTTGAAATTACTCATACTTACTTTTTGATGAGTTGAATTGGTAACAGGTATAAAAACTTTTCAATTTCTTTTATTACTAAAAATTATAAACATACATTAAATTAAATATTCTTTATTAGAATTTATTATTAAACAAAACATAATATTTATATATCACAATGGCTGAAGGTAAGTATCTTATCATTACTTTGGATTACCTTTGATATCATTTAAATTGCCGTGTTCATGATTGGGAGATTTTTGGTATCGGAATCTTTGTATTCGGAATCATACTTAGTTATGGTTCATGGGTATTAAAGTGGATCTTTAATGGACTTTAATGATGATTTGGTAATAATTATGATAGGATGAAAGCGTACTAACAATCAGAAACATACAAAAAAGTCTCTGAAGAAAAAAGAGCTCCAATTCAACAAAATCCTTATGGTCCAAATCCTGCAGATTTTCTTTCAAATGTTTCAAATTTCCAATTGATTGAATCAACTTTAAGAGAAGGTGAACAATTTGCTACTTCATTTTTTTCAACTGAAAAAAAAATTGAAATTGCAAAAGCTTTAGATGATTTTGGTGTTGATTATATTGAATTAACTTCTCCTGTTGCTTCTGAACAATCAAGAGCTGATTGTGAAGCTATTTGTAAATTAGGTTTAAAAGCTAAAATCTTAACACATATTAGATGTCATATGGATGATGCTAGAGTTGCTGTTGAAACTGGTGTTGATGGTGTTGATGTTGTTATTGGTACTTCTCAATTTTTAAGACAATATTCTCATGGTAAAGATATGAATTATATTGCAAAATCTGCTATTGAAGTTATTGAATTTGTTAAATCAAAAGGTATAGAGATTAGATTTTCTTCAGAAGATTCATTTAGATCTGATATTGTTGATTTATTAAACATTTATAGAACTGTTGATAAAATTGGTGTTAATAGAGTTGGTATTGCTGATACTGTTGGTTGTGCAAATCCAAGACAAGTTTATGATTTAGTTCGTACTTTAAGATCTGTTGTTCATTGTGATATTGAATGTCATTTCCATAATGATACTGGTTGTGCTATTGCCAATGCTTATACTGCTTTAGAAGGTGGTGCTAGATTAATTGATGTTTCAGTTTTAGGTATTGGTGAACGTAATGGTATTACTCCATTAGGTGGTTTAATGGCAAGAATGATTGCAGCTGATCGTGATTACGTTTTATCAAAATATAAATTACATAAATTACGTGATTTAGAAAATTTAGTTGCTGAAGCTGTTGAAGTTAATGTTCCATTCAATAATCCAGTTACTGGGTTCTGTGCTTTTACTCATAAAGCTGGTATTCATGCTAAAGCTATCTTAGCAAACCCATCAACTTATGAAATTTTAAAACCATCTGATTTTGGTTTAACAAGATATATTCATTTCGCTAATAGATTAACTGGTTGGAATGCTATTAAATCAAGAGTTGAACAATTGAATTTAAATATGACTGATGATCAAGTTAAAGATGTTACACAAAAAATTAAAACTATTGGTGATGTTCGTCAATTAGGTGTTGATGATGTTGATGCCATTATTAGAGAATTCCATGCAAAAATTGCAACTCCTGTAATTCAAGCAAAAGGTGAAAGTCAAGGTGTTGTTGATGAAAAATTATCAATTTCTGATGAAAAAGAACAAGATGGTCCAGAAACTAAAAAACAAAAAACTGATGCTTAAATAAATAGAAATAAAATATAGCATTTTTAAAAAGATATTGATATTTAACATTTTTTGCATTTAAATTATTTTATTTCCAATGACAAGGTTTTTTTTCAACTGTTTTTTCATATATATATTATACAATTTTAACATTCCATTTGGTTTTTAACGTTTAGTTGTCTATAAAGACGACTTATAAAAGTTTTTTATTTAACATTTATATATATCTTTTATTTTCATGTTTTGATCTTTGATAGTTTTATAAAAGGAAGAAAAAAAAAAGAAGTTCTAATATATAAACTGTTTTCATATATATTATAGTTATATATAAAGTATGGGTTTTATATATAAATTTGGTTTAAATTTGAATGTTTTTATGTAGATATTATTAGTTGGTTATACTTTTCTGTCATTTTCCATAGTGACATTTTTAACTATCTTATAAAAAATTATGTCACTTCATATAAACAAAAATAAACTAAAAAAAAAACATCAACATCTTTTTGAACTTTTCCACCTAATTTCAGTATCTTTATTTGCCTATGAATGTTCGAAATGGGAAAAGTCTCAGTCCAGTATGTCATATTCATCTCTTTTGTTTGAACCGCTGTGCTGAAAGAATCTTTTTAAAACTAATATAATAAATTAGGCTCAACATATAGCTAGAATTAAGAATGATTTATCAAAACTTATACCTTTGGGACTTCTTTTCTTAACAAATTTACCAATAATACCATCAAATGGCTTGGAAGTTGATCCAATGGAAGATTCCAATGAATGGATGTGGCTTGATTTACCTTATACCAATACAAAAGAACCAATCTACTCTGCTAAAGATGGTTCAAGATGTGTTTTATCATCAATTGCATTAGACCTTTCATATTTATTAGAGCGGTCACTAATCCAAGCTACTTATAAATTCATTAAAGTTCAACGAGTCAAGATTATGGTTGTTAGAGTTTATTGGATACCCAGTGATATTGAAGGACATCGATTTTTAGATGAAGTTAGGTCAAATTATAGAAGAGGTAAACCTTCAAGTTGGCATGAAGGTAAACAAAAACTTATAGTGGAGAATTTATTAGCTGTCTTAGATTATTCAGATGATAATTGGATTAAACCAGAGTTTATAAAGTCTAAAATATTGCTGTTTTCCGCTATTGATAAATTTGTTCCATTTAGTACTTCTAATTTGGGTTCTGGTCCATATCTACTCAGAACCCCTTCAAAATTGTTCTTTAAAAGACTTATCAGTGGTGAATCATATTACCTGGTAACTGAAAATGATAATAATGACCCATTAGAGAAAAAGTTGACTAATATATATGATTCAATAAAATTGGATCTTAATATGACTAATGACTATTTATCACTTTCACAAGAGATTCCAGGTATTAAAAGTCAACTTTATAACTATCAAATGGAATCCATTTCTAAAATGTATTCAAATGAAACAGATACAAGATTACAAGTGATGCCACATTTAATCAAAATTACAAAATTTAAAGGACAAACAACATTTTATTTTAATAAATTATCAATGTCATTTCGTCGTGATCCTGAGTATTATACTACACCAAGAGGTGGTATATTGGCAGAAAATATGGGTTTAGGTAAAACATTGATTTGTCTAGCATTAGTTTGTTTAACCAAATATGAAGCTTCTGAAACCCCAGATAAATATATCATGAATAATGTTAGAGATTATAAATTACAAAGTTTATTTGATCAATGTGTTAGACATATCAATAGACATTCTATTGCATGGGGTAAACATCAGGATTCGTTACCTACAACTTGTACTGATGCTTTACAAAAATCTCCAGGTTTTTTCTATGTGAAAACTGAAGAATTACCAAATAGAGGTCGTTTAAGAAGAGGTCCTATGGTTATTGAAAGGAAATATCTGTTAACAAGTGCAACATTAATTGTTTGTCCTGATAATCTGTTCAAACAATGGTCAGAAGAAATTGCAAAACATATTGAACCAGGGTTTTTAAATGTTTATTATACACCTAATATTGGACCATTACCACCTTCAACACATTTAGTTACATATGATATTGTTCTAATGCCAATATCAATTTACGCAAAAGAAAATTTGGATACTTCTGAGCTTGGTAGAATATATTGGAAAAGATTTATAATTGATGAAGGTCATAGTATGAATCAAAGAAATAGTAGAACAGTTGATTTATCTAAAAATATTAAATTTGAAAGAAAATGGGCTGTTACTGGTACACCAACTGCTGGTATGACAAATTTACATATGAATGAAACTTTGGATAATAATTCAAAAAGTTATGACGTGAAAAGAACTTTTAATGCTAAAGATGATTTGAAAAGATTAGGTTTATTAATTTCAAACTTCTTCCAAATTGAACCATGGTCAAGTGATCTATCATTATGGAATAATATTATTATAAAACCATTGACAAACAATGATACTAATTCAAATGAATCTTTGAAAACTTTACTGGACAGTATAATTGTTAGACACTCAACAGATCAAATAGATACTGATGTTACATTACCCCCACTTCATCATAAGCCAGTTTTTTTAACTCCATCTTATCATAACAAGTTATCAGTAAATATTTTTACCGCTGTCTTAGCTGTTAATGCTGTTAGTTCTGAAAGAGAAGATCAAGATTATATGTTCCATCCTGGAAGTAAATCAGATTTAAGAAGATTGGTTACAAATCTACAAAGAAGTACATTTTATTGGACTGGGTTTTCTAATGAAGATTTGGATAGTATGATTTATATTGCAAATATTTGTCTTGAAAAGACAAAAGAAGATGGGACCCCATATTATAGTGAAGAAGATATAAAGTTATTGGAAAGGTCTATTAGGGCTTGTAAAGTTGCATTAACAGATAAAAATTGGAGAACAGTTTCAACTTTACATGAAATGAATTATTTTGTTTATGGATTGAATGATCTTTTTAAGAAGAATTTTGCAATTAACAAATTTTCAAATGAAATATCAGTATTTGGTGCACCTCAATTATATGCTTTACAATCTTTCTATTTTAAGAATAGATTTGCTAAAGATGAAATCTTGGAAGGAAGAATAACACAAAATTCTGATGAATTTTGGAAAGGTTTTTGGAAAGAAGCTACAAAGAAAAATGCTGAAAGGGTTAAGAAAAATGATGGACAAACTATAAATATCCAAAAAGTTAATGAAGAGTTAGAACATCAAGAAAAATTATCTCTTAAATCAAGTAACAAATCGAAATTTGATGATCCAAATTTTATGAAAAGCTCAACGGGTAGAATTCAAACTAGTTTAAGTAACTCAAACACACCAGAACCAACCATGAAGACCAATAAAACAAACAAATTTGCTAGAATGCTTGGTACATCATCTGCTAAACTTTCATATATGGTATCTAAACTATTAGAAGATTCATTTGAAGGTGTCAAAAGCATTATTTTCTTTGAGTTTGAAGATAGTGCCTATTATTTATCTGAGGTTTTAGATTTAATAGGTTTAGATTATACATTGTATGCAACCTCGGTTCCAAAAGATGAACGTTCAGAGAAGATTAAACAATTTACTGAATCAAAAGGTGCCCATACTTTGATAATGGATTTAAAATTAGCTTCTCATGGTTTAACAATCATTGCAGCAACTAAAGTTTATTTTCTAAATCCAGTTTGGAAAAGATCAGTTGAAGCTCAAGCTATTAAAAGAGCTCATAGAATAGGACAAAGCCAACCAGTCCATGTTGAGACTTTAATTTTGAAAGGGACATTAGAGGAAGAAATGTATAAAAGAAGATTGAAAGCTGAAGATGAACTAAATGTTCCTGTTGCTGATGATGATCACATAAGAGATTATATCTCAAAATTTGAATTTCTAAAAGCCAATGATCAACTTCCTTATACTGATTTCAAATGTCGTACTACAAAAACTCTGAAAACCATAAATAAGAAAGAATTTGAAGAATTTGAACTTCATGAATCATCAGCTTTAGGTATAAATTCACATCTATATTGGGATATTCCTTTGTTTTCAAAAGATGCTTTGAGTAAACAATCAGAGTTACAAAAGGGACATGTTATTACTAAAAAATCAATTAAGATTGATGAGTCATTCAACAGAAGTCCAAATAAAGAACAGAAATTTGTCAAAATAGAAGATCCTGAACAGTCAAAAAGTAGCATTTTCAAGAAAGAACCACATTTTCATACTATAGACAATACAGACAATGCAGACAATAAAGACAATATAGACAATAAAGACAATAAAGACAATACAGAATATGATACAGATAGAAAACCACCAAGGAAAAAACTCAGATTTGTATAAATTTCAATCTATATTCCACTAATACCATTTGTATATCTTAATATAACAGTACCATCAACTGAAGAAGAAGCAATTTTCCCATTGTGTTCATCAACATCAATGACTGTACCTGTATGACCAGTTAATTTTCTTAACAATCTACCAGATGTCATATCCCAAGCTGTAACTGTCTTATCACCTGAACCTGAAATTATCAAATTATCTTTAATAACTGACCTTATTAATAAATTTTCTGTACCAGCTGGTGCACCATCATAAATTTTTGGTCTTATATGAGTTCCTGGAACAATTTTTGGATCATATATTCTAATAGTTTGATCATCTTTTGATATTAAATTGTTATCATCTATTGATAATGATGTGATTGAATCTGTATGTTGAGTTTCTATTTCATAAAGTGGTGTCATTGGAGATCTTATATCCCATGCTCTAATTATTGGTTCTATACCTGATGCAAAAAGTATATTGTTATGGAATGCAACTGATAATAATGGATAGTCAGTCTTGAAATTGTTTATATAACTTTTCTCTCTTTCATCCCATACAAATGCTATACCATCATCACCTACTGAAGCTACTAAACTTTGATCATTATCAACTTCATTAACAACCAAAGAATGGGCTGCAAATTTCCTTATTCTTTGACCAGTTTCTGTATCCCAGATACCAACTGTTGTATCAGCAGATGATGATGCTATGTTTCCATTGTTTAGCCATCTAGTTGAAGTTACCGCACTTTTATGGCCTGTTATTTCAGCATAATTTGGATTTTGACCTGGTGTTAAAACATGAGGTAGGTTCCATAACACTATAAACAATGTTAGTTTTCAGTAACTTGAAACAGAAACATTTGGGATACTTACATATTTTCTTATCAACACCTGAACTCACTAGTTTATCTCCTTCTCTGTTAAACTTGGCCGATAAAACGGTGCCTTGATGACCTTCTAAAACGAAAGATTCTGATTGGAACTATAATTTTTTTCACGTTAGTTCAAAGAAGAGAACCACAACATAGAAAAACAAAAACATACTTTTTGTGCTTCAGTCACAGATCCTTCTGGTCTTTGTCTTTTAATAAGTGACATTTTTTGTCTATATTAACAGTTGTGTACCAAAGTTACAATCAATTTTAACTCATCTATATTCTACAAAGATTCGAGTCTGTTTATACTACTTTTTTACAAACCCGTCTTTCTGGCAGAAAATGTGTCTTTAACATTTGGCCACACTTTGAGAGTAACCCTCCTCCATATCCGGCAAACAACCCCGGCCAATTAGCTCTACTAACCGCAAGTTGCAATTTCTACGGTGGATTTCCTCCTTAAAATGTTTTTGACCAATTTAATTTTGATTCTTTTTATAACTTGAATTGAAATTAATTTGATCTTGGGAATTTTCAATTATATTCATATCAATTATACATACAATGTCATCATTAGCTTTACGTCGTGCTTTAGTTTCAACCCGTGCTATGCGTGTTGGTGTCAGATCCTATAGTGAAGGTTCCACTGGTGCTAACCGTCCAGAAAGCAGTGGCGATTCATTCACCGTGAGTATTAATCAATCTTAGTTAAGATTTTGACAATTGATTCTGATGATGGTAGTACAATCATCCATTTGATCAATTGATTTAATTGAGTCAATTGGCAAATCTGAAGCCATTATATGGGGTGATCCCTATTGTTGATAGAATACTAACACTTTCCAAGAAACGTGAAAAAGCCAATGAAGATTACTATGTTAAAAAACATGAACAAGAACAATTAAATGCTTTAAGAGAAAAATTAAAACAACAAAAAGAACAACTTAACGATCTTGAAGAAAAAATGTATGTATTTCTAAGTTATATACTTTGAGTTTGGAATTGTTTGGTTGGCAGGAATATGATACTAACGTTTCATCAATAGTAACAACTACAACAAATAGATTTAATATCTATAAAAATATGATTACGACCTAATGGTCAAACATTAATTATCAAAATTCAAAAAAAAAAACAAATAAAAATTCATTATAAAAATTATCAATATGTTTTAGTGGTCTGATTTTAATTATGATTCGAATTGTTGAATATTCAATACATGTAACATGAAAGTATATTTCAAAAATGTAGAAGCTTATATGGGTTAAAATCTTTGAAAATTAATTGAGCTTTTATTGTATCTTTAGAGTTTTATCAAAGAAGATGTTTTGATGCATATGAGATGTACGGCCTTGTGGGGTCTACAGATGTTCTGTTCAATTTTGCATTAAGCTAATGTTGTAACTTGTTACTTGTTACCTACCTCGATGTGTTAACATTCGATTAATTGTTCAATAGAGGATCAATTAGATAGTTAGAACAGCTCTGTTAAATTACACTGTAGATTTCACTGTAGGGAAATCATTCGATCAATATTTGTACACCAATTACTGATCTACCAGATTTGGATCGCTTCGAATATGCCAACTACTCCAGATATACTTAGACTTGATCATCTAGACGGGTATTGAATAAAACTATTGATATCATATATATATTTATAAGTAACAATAGTGTGCATGAGATTAAAACCGGCTTGCGTTGAACAATAGATGCTCACTTTATTGTCAAAGATCAAATCGGAGATTAAAGACTATAATAGTATTGTTTTCTCCGGCCCGATCACACTTTATAAGATCTTTAGCTTCTCATAAAACCACGACCCATAGCATTAATTAAAATTTAAGTGGCTATTACGATTCTTGAGCTTTCCTATTTTAATACTAAATGTCTAAATGCACAAAATTCGATAGATGAAAAATTGAAAAATTTACAGCATAAAATTATTAAAGTAAAATTAAAATTTATGATGTTAACAAAATCTCAAAATTTGAATTTTCAAATTTAAAAATCCTTGATTGGATAGTATAATTATATCTACTAGAGTTATAAAGGATAGAAGTTTTCAATAAAGATGCTTTAAATCAAAAATCTCAAGGTTAAAGCCTTTAATTGCAAAATTACTTTAGTGATTTCATAAGATATTACTAAGCAGCACTAGAAGAACATAGGGATTCAGGCACCCACACCTGTGTTAGTATCATCCGATGTAGTGTAGGGGCTATCACGGTACACTCTCACTGTACAAACCCGAGTTCGATTCTCGGCTTCGGAATTTCTTTTTTTTGTCTTTTACTTCGAAATTTGCTTTTAAATGTCAAGAAATCTCTATTTTTTTTAGTCAAGTTCACATAAATATCTGGTATTATATCCTGGGAACTTAGTAAGAGATTTTTTGGAATGGTTTTATTGCATTTTGAGTCTATGAACAAAGCTTTGATGAAATTAGTATTATTCGGAAATAGACGGACTGTATTGAGAAATCTCCGAGTAATTACAAAGTAGTCTACAATGTCAGTCTTCTAACGATATTATATACATGGCATCGATCTAATTATCCTCTATTAAATATATATTTACAAGTTCCATATATTGGATGATTTCATTAGTTATAGTTCGTTATGATTTCATTAAATGTGACTTTTCTTCATTTCATGTCTTGGTTTTTTATGTTTATCTGTTTTATCTTTTATATCAGATTCTTGTGTTGATTCTGATTTATAAGTGCTTGAATAGAATAAGTTTTTTGATTTAGCCAGTTCAATTTTCAAGTCTCTTCCAGCTTTTCCCATTTTCTTAGTATCAACAGTTTCCATGTAATTTCTTATATGTTGTATACGTGATCTGACAACTTTTTTTGCCTCTGGTGTCAAAACTAATCTATGAGTACATTTCAAATACCCAGCATAACCTCTGACACCTATTTTGTCTTTAGCTAAGGTCATGAATGATTCAAGTAGGTGGAAAAAAGGTGCACATCTTTCAACATTTTTTGTTTCAAAATTCTCTCTATGTAAAGTTGAATGGATTTGTGAATGAATACCGTCAAGAACTTTGAAAGTAGTTTCATCATTTGTTTCAATATGGAAAAATTTCTGATCTGTTAATAATTTTTGATAGAATAAAACTAAATTTTCACCAGATGTTTTACGATTACCTTTCTTCAAAGAAATCATATACTTATGAGTTAAGTGTATGTCAACTTTATTTGGAAATCTCGAGGCAAAATTTTCATAAAGTTCAACACCTAATCTTTCATTACCAATCTCTAAGCATGTTTTGATTAAATCATCAGCAAGAAAAACATTTGGGTCTAATTTAGTTTTCAGTGGTACAATTGGATCAAATTGTAATTTCCCGCTACCTCTATTAGCTTCATCAAATTTCAATGTCCAATAAATTTCTGGAGTAGTTTGTGGGATATCAAAGCAAGCTTGAGCAACTTTAATACCTCTAAGTTTGATATAATGTCTTCCACATGAAGTTAAAGCTCTTGAGTATGCATATAATAACATAGAGTCCAATTTAGATTCTGGAAACTTTTGTTTAACTTCCAACATCAAATCTTCAGCTCTTACCGAAGACCAAATATCATTAGGCGATCTTGACAAACCTTGAAAAAGAATAGTGTAAGTGATAGTATTTGGTTTGAAATGTTTGAATAAAGGGTCTTCTTTAATTTGTTCATAGAAATCAAAAGCAACTGATTGATCTCTGCAGTTAATCAATGCATTCAAACAAGCATTTACATGTGTAGCATTTGTTCTAAAACCTGATGAATTTGGTATTTTTTCAAAAATTGTTTTCAATTTCTTTGTCTGAATATTTGTTAAACCAGGTGTACCATTTTCTCCACGAACTTTTGACAATGAATCGAATAAAGTAGTTAACCCCTGTTCATTTGGTGGAACACCCCATTTTTTTCTCCAATTATGTAAATTAATAGCTTCATCAATAGACCCAGTTTTAATAAGATGATCAACGACGAAATTCATTCCAACAATACCCTGTTCTCTAGCTAGTTTACATACAAGCATTGCTTTTTCAGTTTGACCCCTTCTCAAGAAAGCTTTGGCTGTATTAGAAACAAAAACTGAGTCTAAAAGCTGTTCCTCAGTGGTACCCAAAATAACTAAAAGCGTTTTCTTGTCAACTTTGGACACAAATTTCAAATCATCATTTGTTTCAGGTCCTATTGAATCTAAATCAATATCTTGACCAAGATTTTGTTTGATATAATGTACAGCTTTTTGTTTTCTTAAGGAGGCATGTGATCTTTTATCAACATCTGGTCTATTCTTTCTCTTTTCTCTTCTTTTAAAGGCTTCTTTATATTTATTAGTTTTCTTTTGAGTTTCCATAATTCTTCCATCATTAACGAATTTTGATAATCTTTCTTTAACAGCACCTTGTAGGCTTCTTTGTACAGAAAAACACCTCACACTGGGTATGAGCCTTGCCTGTATGGATTTAGACACAAGCATCTTCAGCAACTTCTGAAGTTAATCCTTTAAATCACCGTAATAGATCAGATTTTGAGCGTTTATGATTTCATATGCTCTGTGTATAGATATGAAAAAAAAAATTTAGAGTAGGTGATGCGATGGTTCGGACACCAGCAGAGGTCGGATTTGAACTTATCACCACTACTAAGATTGAAGAGCTTCTAAACACATTGCGTAGACAGCCACTAAACAGCAATTGGAAATTGAATTAAGTTGAAAGAACGTCATAAAATGGCTATTGAAGAGTGTGAGTTAATAGGCGCATGTTGTTTGTGGTTGAAACTCGATATTAACATGCATTTTTAGTGGCAAAATTGAAGGAAATCAGAGAAAGATACAATGGTGAGTTGGAATACATGAAATGTAATTGATCACAAAGCATTGATATGCTAACAAATGAACAGGTCCTGTGTTGATTGAGAGATTGTACCACTTTCAAGCATCAGATCCACAGGTTGTTGGGATAGCCGCTCTGTCTGCTTTGGAGTATTTGGACGAGAATGATCAAGCTAGTCCTTATATCGAGCAGCTCATTAAAAGACTTGAAGCAATTCCACAAAGCGAAAGAACTGCTAAATTCTTAAACCCCCAATGGAATATTTCAATTCAAAATAACAAATCGAAGAAATTGAGAAGTGTTGGTAATGAGAATTTGTATCATGAGACTGATATTGAACGTACAATTGAAATAGCTGAATTATACGCATATAACAAGCTATACAGTGAAGCAGCAAACGTTTTATTAACTTCAGCAATGGGATCACCAACGTGTCAATTGGCAGAGTATTCTGCTAAAGTAGGAATCTTACAAGCACAATATCAGAATGTTTTCAACCAGGATAAAAGAGTCGAGGCATTTTTGACTTTATCTTTATCAAATGAGCTTTACCTCAAGAGATTAACAGAGCAGGAAGTTATATCATATTGGAGAGTCAAATATTTGATATTATTTGCATATTTCCTCAAAAAGGATTTCAAAGAGGTTACAGAGCAAATATTCAAACTTATAACGGCTCCATCCATCCAAACCGCATCTGGGAAAAATATATCAGCTCTTCAAATTCTTAAGGATTCAAATTTTGGTAATTTCATACACCGAGACGAAATTGAGTTTGCTTCATTCTTATCAATATTAGCTCATAAGTCACCAAAGGAGCTGGCAGATATAGTGAATGATGAACATTTTATAGCACTAATAGGGACAAAAGTATCAGAAACTCGCCCATATTTTTTGGCATTAAACTCAGCTCAGTTTAAACAGTTGAATTTATTGTTGGACAATTTGGAAGGAAAAACAAAGTCAAATGTTTTCTTCAGGAAAGTTTGGCCAGTTTTAAGGCTAAGAATGAGGGAAAGGGGATATAACTTATATTTGAATCTCTCATCGAAAATTTCAGCAGACCATTTATCGAAAAGATTGAATATTCCAAAAGAGCAGGTTATTTCTGAAATTCAAGATCATGTTAAAAAACTCCGCTTAGAGGTTGTTTATGACCCAGAAACTGAAATCTTTGAAGCTAAGAAAACAGATAGAAGATTTGAACTAGCTTCAAAATTACAAAAACTTTCAGAAGATTGTGACACTGTTGAAGCTAATTTAAGAGAAAAACTTGATTTAACACAACAAAAGGCAGAAAGAGCAGGTAAAAGTATCGACAGATGAAAAATACGAAATGATGATGGTATATTTATGAATATATTGTGTACTATGTTTATTTATTTATATGCACAAAAGATTTGATGTTCGTAAATTTTATGTTCGTTATGTATGCTTTTTTTAAAACACTTCAACAACCTCATCCTCTAGATTAGGCGTAGTAACCCCAAATTCTGCAATTCTTTCGATATCTTCAATTTCTTTAGCAGCTTCAACTGTTAAGTTTCTATATGTATCTTTTCCAATAGCTATATCATCTTCAATTCTAATACCAATATTTCTAAAACCTTTAGGAAAAGCATGATCATCAGGGACATAAACACCAGGTTCAATAGTTATGACTTGGCCTGCTTTCAATTTGGAATTTCTTGAGCTACGGGGAACATCATGAACATCTAATCCAAGATTATGACCAATATAATGAGGGTATAGTTTAGAAACATCACGATGTGTCAATTCACCAAATCCACAGTTTCTTAGTTCTCTTCTCATCAGCAAGACACTCATATCGTGTAATTCTTGTAAGCTTAAGTTATGGTCTTCTGTACATTTTGTAATACATTCTTTTTCAACATTCAAGACAGCTTGATATAATTCTTTTTGTGCAAGTGAGAATTTACCAGATGATGGCCATGTTCTTGAAATATCAGAAGCATAACCACCCAATTTCCCAGATGCGTCAACTAAGACCATTTCATCTTCAAATAACATATCATCATTTCTAGTATAGTGGATACATAAAGCATTTGATCCTGCAGCAACAACTGGAATATAAGCTGATTTATCACAACCTCCAGAAACAAATCTATACTCTAGATATGATTTCAAAGTTCTTTCAGTTTTGAAGCGTTTGGCATATGTTTCATTATATGCTCTTCCAGATATTTGACCTGCTCTTCTCATGACATTCAATTCAGCAGAAGATTTAATGAGACGCATTTCTGAAACGTAAGGTGATAATGGCTTGATAGATTTCCCACTGGTACTTTTCAATAAATTCTCTATAGAGCTCATTTTGGCATTTGAACCAATGTTAAAAAAATTTGAAAAAGTTGTTGATGTTGTTTGTTTCTTGGTGCCTTCTGGTAAGTCAATAAATATATTTCTATTTCTGTTTATGAGTTTTTCCATATATGGTGCTAATCTATATATATCTTCTGATTCATCAGCATTAAAGATTTCAACAACACCTTTGACACCAGTTCTGAACCCATCCCATTGTTCAGCTAATGGTTCTTTTGGAGGAACAATCATATGAAAAGTAACATCTTCTAATCTTGAGGTTGGTTTTTCAATTGCAATAACTGAATCTGGTTCGTTCCAACCTGAAAGGTAATATAAGTCATTATTTTGTTGAAAATCATAAAACACACTTCCGGATGCGAATTGAACCTGTGAGCCAACGATAACGGCAAGTGATTGATCTGGTAATTTAGATGCAAGATCTATTCTTCTTTGAAAATATTCTAATGCTGTTATACCTGGTGTCAATTCTCCAGGTTGCACCATGAAAGGTCTGGTCTCAAACAGAGGTTGACCAGCTGTGAATGGTGGTGCTACTCTCTGGGAATAAGATCTAACAGATCTAGTGATATTTGTGACATATGAGGGTATTTTAGATCTAAGCATTATTGATTCATTGGAGTAATGTGATGATTTATGCTGGTTTTCACGTATATTTAAGTAGTCGAATTATTATTTTTCATTGAATTTTTCAATCTCCGGCTAAATTCGAAATATGAATATGAGCACTACTTCAAACATATAATCAAAAAACACAAATTTGTGTATAATACATAAGTGTCTACCAGTAGATTGGAAATAAACAGGTAAATTTATAATAGCAATAAAATCATCTTATAATAGCGGTAAACACTTTCGGAATTAATAATCTAATGAATCTGGGATGACTCTCTTAGCAACACTAGCTTTTCTCTTTTTAAACCTTGTATTATAACCTACCACAGGTTGACTATCATCCTCGATCTTCTCAACATCATAGCTACTGGCTCTTTTCATACTTCTAGTCATAACCTGTGATGATTCAATCACATCAGATGGCTGTGAACTATTAATTTTCAAGTTTGAGAAACCACCAGAAACTTCTTCTGATTTTTTGGTTTCATCCGATTCATGATCACTTGAATTTATGATTTGTTCATCTTCATCCTCATGGTTGGTATCTTTGATCTTATGAAGAGCATCCTATTTTTAACGTTAGTATATTTGAATAATTAGCTGAACTGGTGAATTACGTACATCAATTTCTAAGCCTTTTTCAAAAGTATCTTCAAATAAATATTTTTTTGCTGTCGATGCAATGCTTTTCAGATGAATAACATCTGGACCACTAATTTTCGGAGTAAAGCTCCAAGTGTATCTCCCCAATGGTAATTGTTTATCATTAACCACGATACCTTCAATATCAACATCAACAAAACTTGAACCTCTTTGGTAAATGTTGTCTCCAGCAGCTCTTTTCAATCTTCTTGGTTCATTCTCAAGAAGTAAAATATTTTTCTTGAAAAAAAATGAAATTGCTTCAACCGTAATGCTTTTATTTTGATCTTTTGTGAACCCTAATTTTTCATGAATCAAAAGAGTTGAAGAAGGGATGTCAATCTTTGTAAATAACTTATAAAGTCTTCTCAAAATCATAAGTAGTTGTAACGATTCATGTGATTGAATACCCAATGAGGTTGCACAACATGTAAAGCAGGTAGCAGATGATCTTCTTTGATCTAATGAATAACAATTGAAATGAAGAACTCTATCACAGGCCGCACATTTTGTAGTTCTTTCAGAAACTTCATTTATAGCACAACCACACTCACATGTATCCCTTTTAATAGCCTGTGTTGGATTTATACCAGGTTGTGAACTTTGTAAAAATTCACGTAACATTGTAGTGGTTTGACTTGGTTCCTCCTTTTTAGGAACAGGTGTAATTGTTGGCTTTGATGAAATACTAACATGACCTCTTGGACCAGTTGGTTTAGCGTTACTTGAAAGACCGGGTGGAGGTGTAGGATTTGAAGGGCCCATTGGTCTTTTAGGAACTGTATTTAATTTTGGTGTTTTAAATCTTTGTGATTCGAATGGATCAATTTCAACAAGTTCATCGTTTTCAGGTAAAACAATAGGACGACTTAAAACTTTAAGCTTTATATCATGATGTGATGTGTTCACAGAACCAGCTGCGTACTTATCAGCATTTGTGCCATTTGGAACTCTTAAAACAGCGTTTGGAACAGACCCAGCATCCATGAAATAAGGTGGTTGGTAGTCCTTAGGTGTTGATTCATTAAATAACATCCTCATTGTCATAAACTTTTCCTCTGGTAAAGGTTCTAGTGATTGAGTAATTATTATAAATCTTTTCATCATATGTTGTAACATTTTTCTTGAATCCAATAAACTTATGGTATCTGTTTCTTCATCATTAATTTTGAAATTAACATGATCTTTTTGATAATCAAATGAGAATGTATAAACTTCATGTAAGTCTTGAGGTTTGCTTTTATCTAAAAACACAGAAAAACTTAAAGATTTCAAATAACCCCTTCTTATAGCATCAATTGCACCTTTATCAATCCAATCCAAAAATAAATCAACTTGTTTATCTTTACCTCTAACCAACGTCTTAACCCTAATAGAATCATTTTTGTTTTTGGGATCTTTAGGATCGTAACCATGCTCAAACTTATTAGGAACAAATCTTTGATCAACAAAGTATTCATCAGGGAATAACCCTCTTAGAAATGCAACACACCCAAATGACATGGTGAGCATTGTTTGAATCAACTTTTGAGATTGTTCTTGAGTGATGCTTGTTTTCGTGCTTGTGATGGTCTTTGTAGCCTGTTCCTGAACCGTTTGTGTAGTTTGTGCCATTTTGATTATTTTGAATGTTTATTGAACCACCATGCTTGTTGTTGAAATGCAATGTATATGGATTTGGGAGATTCGATCCCTATATATATATAACCTTACCAAAGACCACCTCAACCCCTGAATTAGCCGCTAAGTCAACCCTTATAGATTTGATCGATTTGAAAACATGATAATCTTTCTTTTGAGCTCCCGATTAAGGTTCTATATCTGAATAACAATATATACTTGGGTTAGTTCTTGTATCTTTGATAATTACCTATTTGTGTATAGATTTGTCATTTAAAGTTTATATTTGTTGAGAATAAATAAATGAATGCCCTAAATCATGTGATGAGTATTAATTACACGTGATATAACATCATGTCTGTCCCCAACCACCTTCGCGAACTTCTTATGCAGTAGAAGCCGTCTCTATTGCTTCCCCAGCTGAATTTCAGATCTTTTGCAAATGTAGGTTGTACCTGATTATAGGAGAGTACGAATTACTACAGCTGATTGAAAGAAAACAATTAAGTTCAAAAGAAAGTATAATATAAGTGGAAAATTGCTATTCAAATATTATTCATATAAAAGCTACACTATCTTAATCTCTCAACTATACTAGACGTTATTATTGGTTATAGCTAAGAGCTAAGAATCGAGACAAGGATTTCACATAATGGCTGACATTTACAGCTCTCATTCTGAACAATACTTACATCATGATCCTGATTCCTTATCAAATGATCTTGATTCTACTAATTTGAAATCCCCAAGATCAGATCAATTATCAGAGTCAACTTCAAATTCATTAGATGTTGATTCTATAGAGTCTCCAAATCAATCAGTCCCTATATCAAGACCGTTATCAAGATCTTCTGCAACTTCAGGATTGTCAGTAACCGCAACAAAAGATGGGATAGAAGGTAAAAGAATTAAAAAAAATGGTATACCAGGTTATCCATTAAATTTAATCAATAAAATGTATACAAATTATGCTAAACAACATCAATTAAACATGGAGAATGAAGTTACGGGTGCTTATAAGACCAATGATGGAAGTCCATTAGCAACAACACAAGGTGACACAGAATCTGCAGATGATTTATGGAGCGTACAATCTATAAAGAGTGCTACAAGTTTAATTCCCCAGTATGATCCTTCGGATAGAGATTTCCATTCAGAAAGGGGATCCATCTTATCAAATGATCAATATCATGATGCTAGTGATCATGCTTCCAAAAACCTTGATTTTTTCGATTTTGATCAAACAAGAGGTCAACAAGGAAATGTACCTAATCAATACGGTGATATTCCACAAATATCGATTGAAAATGAGAATTTACAGGAAAGGAGATCATAGTTTAAAGAACACAGGATTGAGTCCTGAATCCTGATTCAAACCATTGGAATGACGTACACTGAAAAGGTTTTATATGGTGTACCATTAGTACAATTTCTTTTTCCTCTACTTTAATCTTTAATTTATTTACGAAATCAACCTGGAAGCAGACTTTATATAATTTTTCAATTCTTTTTCTTACGTTATTAAATTGATTTCGTAGGTAATTATAACCAGCTTAAGCCTTATATTAGTTATGATTGTTAGTAGGTCAAGTCTTACATAATCACCGAGCTGTACCGAATTAGTTATTAAAAAAAAGTTCAGTGTTGAAAGAAAGCATGAAAGACTCAGACATAAATTATATACAATCTACTGATCACAATTAACTATTAGTCCAATATGTTTAAATTATCTGGATTAATTAGTGCCACCCAATTAGGTAGAATTAGTACCCGGGTTGCTAGTTCAAGAGGGCCAATTTCCCAATTCAACCGTTATGCTTCACAAGAAGCTAAAGAAACTTATACAAAATTGAGCGATGAAAATGATCCTCAAAGAGATACAATTTTCAAATATACTTGGGGTACTTGGTTAAAAAATGATGAAGCTGAGAAGAAGAAAAGATTTACTAAATTTTCATTAACTGGGTTACAAGATATTCTAAAATTATTAGTTGAAGAATCTAAAACCACAGCACAAAAAACTGAAGATGTTAAAGAATTACCAAAAGTTAGTGAACCAAAAAGATATTTCACCAACTTTGTTTCATTACCTCATAATGTTAATGTTACCAATTTTGGCTCTTTGAATCCAAATGAAAACTTACATATTAAACAATTAAGTTCATTACATGAAGGTAAACATCATAGAATTTATAAAATTGATTTAAACACCGAAAGAAGTTTTATCCTTAGAATCCCATACCCATTAGATACTGAATATGCCATTGAAAAAAGAATTCAAAGTGAAGCTGCTACTTTAGATTTCATTAGCTTGAAAACTGACTTAAAAGTTCCAAAAGTTTTTGCTTATGGTGCTGATAATACTAATCCTTTAAATATCCCATTCATCTTGGAGGAATTCATTGAAGGTGATACTTTAATGAAAAAATGGCAACCAATGACCCCTCACACCGAATCAAACCATAAAGAAGTTATTGGTGAAGTTATAAATCCGTTATCTGAATTACAATCTAAATTATCTGAAATCGAATTCAATCAATTTGGTTCATTATATTTTGCTATTGATTCTGCTGAAACCAATCCAAAAGAACCATACAATGGTGAAACTGATGAAGCTTTAAAAGGTCGTTGGGTTATTGGTCCATCCACTGAAAGAGTGTTCTGGAGAAACAGACATTTATTGAGACCATCACAATTTGAAAGTTTAGTTGGCCCATGGGATGCTGATAAACCATTGGATATTGTTAAAAGTGTTGCTGAAATTGAATTGGAAACTTTAAGAACTAGATTGGCCTTTAATGAAACTGATGCTGGTGTTATCGAAGATAAGGATGCTTTAAAACAACAAATTGAAGTCTATGAACATTTGAAATCAGTTGCCCCTGTCTTAATCAACACCAAATCTGAAGGTGTTAAAAACATTGAACAATTATTCAAACCAAGATTAGCTCATACTGATATCGATCCATTGAACGTGTTAACTAAAGGTGATGATTACTACTTCTTAGACTTTGAAGGTGCTACTATCAAACCAATCATTTTCCAAAGTACACCAAGATTTGTTGCTTATGAAGATGGTCCAAAGATTTATGAATTCGAAATTGATATGGAAAAATATGAAACAATGTCAGATGCTGATAAATATTACTACGATTTTGCTGTTGTTCGTACAAGAAACGAATTTTTATGGGATGTTGCATTAGCTAACACTTTCAACAAATTGGAAACTGAAGGATCCCCAGTTTTAAAAAGATTAAGAGCTCCATACACTGCTGCTATTGAAAAAAGAACTGATAATGAATCAGCTATTGTTGATCGTAAAATTTATGAAATCGCCTTACAATGGAATCAATTTGCTGAACATAAATTTGTTCTTGCTGAACAATTCCCATTTGAAATTACAGACGAAAAATTTGATGCGCATACTAAAGTTTTAGAAAAATACTACAACGATTTAGGTAATGTTCCTTTCGCTGTTACTGGTGGCTGGGTTCCTCAAGATATGTTTGAATCTTTATTATCACAAAATGTTATAATTAAACAAGAAAATGGTGATTATGCTATTAATGATGAAGTTTTAGGCAAAGCTGAAGAAGGGCAATCTTAATGAGCTATTACAGATATTTCCCGAATGATTTACATTTGATTTTCTGTTGTATATAGAGTGAGATTTATATTCCATTCATTTCCGTGAAGATTTCCGTAGGTTGAAAAAAGTTCGTGATGTTTTCTAGTTTTTAGTATTGAACCACAACATCAAAACATCAAGATCTAGACACAATTACAACCCCATAGTCACAGATCAGCATGTCGAATTTCAAGACACAGCTTAATCAATTGATCGGTAAATGAGAAACCAGTGATATCTAACTACATCAATTTCAAGGATTTTTTTGCTAACAATAGAAAGATGCCGCTGGCTCAATAGCCGCCCAGTTGAAACAAAGTGAACAGAATCCAGGTCAACAAGCAGACCTCAAGACAAAAGTAGCTTCGGCACTTCCATTGGCTGAAAGGTATGAACGCTTATTCAGAACCACTGAATTCAATGATGTTGCAGATGTTGTGACTCCTTTGGAAAATTCAAGTAAGTATTTAGTTAGCTAAATCATCGATTGAAAAGAGGTATTAACAAAATGAAGCTATTGATGTTTGGAATGCAGCGGCTTTAGCAATGAAGATTGCAGATGAAGAAGAAAGGAAGATTCTATGCTCCAGTAAGTTGGATTATACACCACTTGTTGGAAGATTTACAGCTAACACTATTTTAAAGTCAAGTTCTTTGCGAGTCTTCTATGTTCAATTAAAGATTCTATTGATCCATCCGTGAAAAGCAAATTTAGATTATTGAATTGTTTATATAGGGTCCTACGAAGTACACTAGGTAAGTGTGCTGTTATTTATTTCAATCTCTGGTTGTTTCACTAACTAACTCAACTATAGATGAAAATGAATCAAGGCTTACAAATAAGGTTCAAGAATATGCTGATAGAGTGTTCAAAAACATTGAAGCTTTGAAATCAACTTTTGATGATCCCACACTATTAAAGTTTAACAAGTCCAAAGCAGAGTTGTTTATCACAAAGATGCAGTTGTCTATCCAAGAGAATGATATTCAAATGGCCAAATTTTATGAAGAAAGAGCAGATTTGACGGTTTTTGCAACAACTGGAGAGTCAGACGTGGTTTTTGAGTCCTTGAGAGTGATTTATAACTCTTCCTTGTCATTATATAACCAAAAGCGTATTGTTGATGCTATATATTTCTTGAATAAGGCTGCTGGTCATATTTCGAGTATGGGAAGTAATTCTTCGGAAGATTTTAAAAGAATCAAACCCTCTATATATTCACTTCTTGGTAAGTATTACTACTTTAAGTAGGTTCATCAGGGAACTATAATATTAATACTTAACATAGTTAGATCATGTCTTGATGAGAATACAGAGGGAAATATCAAGCTAGCTGAAGACACATTATCCACGATGCAAGAGGTATGTTATTTTCTATATCTGTGATGATTACAACTGCTAACGCTGAAATAGATGCCAGAAAAATCAATTGAATATTTCAAAATGTTATTGAAGCTTTTATATACCAGAAATGGCGATGTCGTTGAAATTGAAGATTTGATTATGAGAATGTTGATGTCCATTAAGAGTTCTGAATTAAAAGAAGCTTTAGGGTTGATAAATGATTTCTCTACAAGAGATGCACCTGGTGCAATACGCTGCTTTGAGTATGCATTTAATAGTAACACAGAGAAGGAGTCAGATCACAATGTTATTGAATTGATAATCGTCGCAATCGTCAATATCTATATCAAAGATGACACAAATTTATCTGAATACAAACAGCAAAACCTTGTTTCTTTCCTTGATACAGCACAGAAGAAATTAGCTAAGGCTTTGAGTAGGAAATGTGCAGCATCTTGCATCACTTTACTATGGAATACAGGTAAAACATGTACAAAAAATAGTTCATTTGAAGACTCATTAGGATGGTTTAAGTTGGCACTTCATAGTATATTAGACATCAATGAAATTGATAAAGCCAAAATCCAAAGGGCTATCCAGAATAGTTATATAAACCTTGAGAGGTATGATGAGGCCATCAAGGTATACAAAACCATGGATGATAAAGAGAAATATGGGTTGATTAGCCAGTACAATATGTTTAAGGTATATTCAAGCAAAGGAGATGAGATGAGCTTGATGTCTTGCTTAAAAAGAATGACTACATCTGAAGATAAAAATTTAATACCGTTATTATCACTTTGTGCTACAAACGTACAATCAAGCACAAGGGTCGCAGTTGAGTCTATGCTTGCATTATTTAAAAAAATTGACACAGGGATCGACAATAAGGTTTCGATACCAACGTCATTACGTTGTGTTATTGAAATGATCTTAAAACAAGATGATTATTTGTTTAAATATTCGGAAACCTTGTTGACTATTTTGAGAGAAGCTTATAAATTTGCAAATGATTCGAAAACCATAGAGAGCTACAAATTCACAATTGAAGAGATACAGTGGTTTAGTGCTCAAGCTTTCAACATATCAAGAGATTGTGTTTCTAGTAGTGACACAGCGTATGGTGGATATTTTGCTGAGATTTCTGTACAAGTGAGTAAAAATCCGAACTTTGGTAGTTAAGCATGTACTAACATTTATATAGTTGAACCTTTTGATACCAGATACAATAAGTGCAAGGCAACAATTTGAGTTGAAACTATGGAGATTCCGTGCCATGTTGATAACATTGATTTGTACTTCCAAAGACCAAAATTTAGATGCTGACATACGCTGGAAAGAAATAAGATCACAGTCATTGAACCTCAGACTCAGTATTGAGGAGCTAACAATAATTAGCGAAACACAGGCAGAATATGATGTGTTCAGAAAAGAATGGGAACAATGTTTAGTCGATTGTATGATTTTTCAATTTCAAGCTGAGTTTGAACTTGAACATTGGTCTGCTGCTGAAACCATAATTAGAGAGTCAAGAAAGCTAACTACTCAAGAATTTGACACTACTGTTGTCAATATAACATCAGAAAATACCAAAGCCCCAGAAAGTATAAAATCCAATATTTTAACAGAGATTTTACAAAGAAATCTTGGTGATCCTGAAATATCCGCTGTGAAAATCTCGAGATGGATCAGGTTGTTATTGAAATACAATGGAAGTGGAATCGAAGCTGATAGTAATTCTTTGAAAATAATTCAACAGATATATCTTAGAATTTCATCACAAAAAGAAGATAATCAATTCCCAGCTCATGAGATTGAATGGATATCAACCACTTGTTGGAACAATGGAATTGGTGCGTTGTTTAATGCAGATAAAGTACAAGGTCGTCTTTGGTGTGATCGTGCTATAAAATTAGCAGGTTTTGTCAATGAGAGATTCGAAGCAGCGTTGCTAAAATTATGGAAAGAGCTACAACACATGGCTGAGTAAATGAATCAAGCATGGCATTAAATCATTAGTATATTAATAAATAGGTTTGAAAGAATCTAATAATGCTATTTTTTTAAGCTTTTAACGACGTGTAGTTATAGTAATTAATTGATGCTAGTGGAAATTAAGATAGCTCACGTACTTTATTCTTCATATAACTTAGCTGGTTTCTCTCCAGTATTGCTGAAATGAACCAACATTATATCTAGGGACTTGACCGGTCTTCTCTTGAATTGTAGCAATTAAATTCAGAATAGTTTTATGTTCATCCTGATGTGTGAAAATCTTACCAGCATTCCATAAACATTGATTAATATTATTCCAAGATTCCAAATATTCGTTATTCAATGTTGATCCAACAATATGCTTAGCATGGTACGTAACAGGTCTAACAGAAGATTGAAATCTGAGAGTCCTAGGCTTATTTTGTAGTAAGATGATACTTGCAGTATGGTATAGTTGGTTAGATAAAGCTGCAGGCCCAGATCCATAGACCAGAACTGGGAAATCACCACTTGAATTTGTTTTGAACTCAATTAAAGGGGAAGTTGTGTTTCTATTTAGGAACCATGCTTGTGTTTTTTCCCACAAGTTTCTCCATTTTTCATCAAAATCTTGAATATCATTGGATCCAATTAAATTAACTGTTTGTGAGAGAAGAGAAATGATTTGTGTGATCTCACTTCCTTGAGTGTAAGACTCTAATGTTTCCTTAGAGAATGCTGAACCTTCTTCACCAATTTCCAAAGTATCAATTTCCTTCAGAACACACCACCATAAGCAGTCATTATTATAAGATTTTGAAATCCAAGTATTATCTTTTGCAGAATTGGTATTAAGGAAAGTAGACAAATTTTTGACAGTGACTTTCCAGTCTGTGTGGCTCGAAACTAAAGTTGTTGCCAGGGTTAATATCGTTAAGCTAACATACACTGGTAGTTTACCTCTTTCTTCTGGCATATAATTGAAGCTCATCAAAAACACCTGCAGACCCTTTTCAAAACATTTCATATCAAATAAAGCAATAGTATAGATAGCACACTTGACCAAGTCAGAAGATTTTGATAACACAGGAACAAAGCTTGACCAAAAATCAGATCCCAAGACATTCAATTTTGGAGACACATGAACAATGAAACGATTAATCAACATGGCTTGTTCGGAGCTTGAAAGCTCAACATACGGGAAAGTTTCTTTTGTAACCATATTATAGGTAAGAAAACTGTCTAACCTTTTTTTCAGAGTTTTGAAAGCCAACTGATCAAAAGGAACTGTTCCGTTATGTACTGTGCTTGTCATTGGATTTGTTTCACCATCAACCACCCTTGAGTGATCAATTTTTGTCTTCAAAGTTTCATCTAAAGCAGAAAACCGCTCATGTCTTATGGATGATTGGGGTTGCTGTAATTGTTGTGGGTTTATTGGGCCTTGTGAGTTCAGTAACTTGTTCAAATTTAGTTTTGGATCTGTTAAATTTCCGTTTGAACTTGATGGAGCGGGTGATTGATAAGACAAAGAATGTGCTTGTTGATATTCTTGTATTTGCTGTTGTTGTAATGGTGGTGTAAAATTGTTTTGAGAGCGAATCTGAGGACCTGGGGTAAAGTGAAGTTGATGTTGATTTTGTGACATTAAAGGTGCATTTGCAGCGTTCACCAAAGAATACGAAGATAAATCTGTTGAAGCTCTTCTGGGTGCCTGATCATCAAATGCTAAAGTACCAAATGGAGATACTGGATGTAATGCGTTTGGAGGTTGTTGAGAAGAATTTGGACGATTTGAAATAAACGATTGTTCTTGATGATTCATTTGCTGTGGGAGTTGATGATTAATCTGAGCAGCTGTACTAGCTGGTACCAATTGACTCAGCTGTTCCAGCGGCGACGATGTTTCTATTCTTGGTCTCTTGAAAGAAGGGTTTATAGAAGCTTCATTTGACACTGGTCTAGATTGTAAGGGATAATTCATGGAATTCACGTTAGCGCCCTGTTGCAAATATGAATTGACAGCTGATACACCAGGATTAACTGCAGCGCTAGTGGTATAACCGCCATAACCATTGCTTGGAATACTCAGTGAGCTCCTTCTTGAGTTTGATTTTTTCAGCTTTGGCGTTGGCCATTCACAATTTTCATTCTTTTGTTGACAAGTTGAACAAATTGGCTTGACTTCATCACATTTTTTATGCTTTCTTCGACAGTTCATACAACCAGTACGGACTCTCTTCTTTGATGAACTTGTAGTAACTGACCCTGAAGCTGTTGTTCCATTGTTTGACTGTGGAGTGCTTTTACTTATACTCTGAGACGTGTTTGGTGTGGTGGTTGATGGTATTGAGATCTGGGAAGAAGCTTGAGCTAGATGGCTAGCTGAAACCAGAGGTTGAGTGCCTGCACTCTCTGTCATTATAATTTAGTTGATGTCTTTTTGATCCTCTAGTGACACTGACTCTTAACAATGACTCAAAAGACGATGTGAAGTTGAATGTCAGCGAAGTAAACATGACTTAATTACGTGTAAAACAGGAATTCGGCACCTTCATATATAAATTGCCTAATTATTTTTGTTAAGCGCTCTGCAAACTTTAATGCGTGATGTAAAGCGGGACAGGATTTTGAACATCGAGTACGAACATTTAACCGGAATAACTCTTCCTACAGAACTTAGTGTATAAACAACATACGTACATAGAAACCAGGAACATGTTGCTGAAATAATAGATTAAACTGCATATATGGTTGGTTAAAATCTAAAGCAACGAATGGTAATTTGAGCTCCAGAGTCCAGTATCCAGTGTTGTATGATACTGAAAACATATACATATGTATAGCTGATACCAAATAAGCTCACCAGCTCAGCTGCTCCACACGTAAATAATCGAAAACGTCTCAGTAATTTGTAATACAAAGGGAAAATCATAGCGTCAGCTGTTCTTGATTTGATCAACTTGAACTGTCAAACTCAAAAAATTTTCACCTAAAGCCTCAATCTGTATGACTTCTGATTAATTTTTCGTTAGACATGACTGCAGATCTTGGAGGGTCTATGCTGCAATTTCCGGGGTAATCTAGCGACAGAAAATTACAAATAATCTTCTCGTGCTTGAACAATCGAAAACCAACTTGAAAGTTTGGATACAGAAACAAGATCAGTAAAGCTTTATGTACCTGGGTCCTGTGGTCATCTGAGTATGTGTATACTTCCCATATCAGTGCTATATATATATATACCTACTTGATCAGCCTGCAGCAGATTGTATAGATCATATATATACGACATTCGATTGCTCAAGGCTAAGGTTTCTCAAAATATAGCCTATAGTATATTAGATAACCCCAGCAGCCCGGCCCATAAATATTTCCAATTATAAATATATGGCATTGATTGACATTGAATGTGAAGTTTGGGTATAAAATATTGCTATGATCCCCTATTTTGTCTTAGTACAATATGACGTCGTTAATATAAACATTAAGTATAGCTATATTGCCGTATATTATATACGACCTATTATATCGAAGGTATTGTACGTACTGAATATTATAGTTCTTAAATCGTACTGATGAAGTTGTATCTGCTTTAATAGGGTCACGAGTAAGCCAACTTAAACCGCTATATTATAGGTGTAATCAGGTGGGTATGATCAATTCAACGTGTTGAACTACTACATATTGATTATCTTTCCGATAATCGACCCGACATGCTTTTACAGGTTTTTAAAGACATATACTAATACTAAATGTTGATGTTATAACAAGTATTCATGTGTAAAGTTATTATCCAAGGTCCAAGGGTCATTTTTGTAAGAGGAGTATTTTGAGATATTGAAATTTCAAATGTTGCGGCTAAAGCCTAAATTAGGCTATTGCGATGCGCAGATGCGCAACTATCGACAAAGGTAGCCTAGATCCCCAGATTTATACAATTGAAACAGCTGTTATTGAAAATATTCCCTCAAGGGCCTCGAATCATGATGCCAATTGGGTTTAACATATTGTACTTTAAAAGACCGTGCCTTTATAACAGTGCTATGTGCTATGTGCGTTGTGCTGGGAAACATAAGTTGTAAGTTGTAAGTTGTAAGTTGTAGCTTGTAACTTGTGACTTATTACTATGAAATAAAACAGCTTATCACTTCAGTAAGTAAATATACAATGTGTATAATGTATAATATAATGGCACTTCTTGATTACACGTAAGTTCTAAAACTCTACACTTTGAAGTTCACCGAAATTATTTCAGCATTAACATTTAATGTTTATACCAGAAATCAAATAAACAACGTAAACTCACGTCGTAAATATTGAGCATATTGAAGACATATAACAATACGGAATCAACGTCCATGTATAACTATATAGCTATGTTTCATTTCTTTGATTTCTTAGGTTTCTTCAACAATTTATCGATGACTTCTTCTGTTTGTTCGGGTTCATCAGCATCTTCTTTCTTGACCCTTTTTGATCTTGTTCTTGGTTTTTTATCTTCCTCTTCTTTTGAAGTTTCCTTTTTGGTTTCTTTTTTAGGTTCATCTGTAGTGTCCTTTTTAGTTTCTTCTTCAGAATTAAAATTTTTATCACCAACATCTTCTGTAGTGACTGGAAGATTGAAATCTGGTTTGATTTCATAATACTCATTTAATTTCAAAGCCCAAATACCATTCTCTATATCAGTGAAATCATATTTGAAATCACTATTTAAGTTCCACATCAAATCCAGCCACTTCATGTATTCAGGAAGACTATATCTCAATTTTAAATTTTCAACATTACCATATTTCACAAATAAGTACTCGGCCGCTTCATCTGAATAGAATGGTGGTGCTAAATTGGTAATTTTGTTCAAAAGTGAGAGAATTAATGATCCTGTTGCTGGTCCAACCCCTTTCAATGCTGTTACGGTAATCAAGGCTTCCCGTATTAACTTCTTGTAATCATCTTTATTTGGTTTCGTGTCTTTCACATCTAGTATTATCTTGAATGCATATTTAGTGATATAAATGACGTCTTGCTCTTCATTATCGTTTATTAGTTTCCGTAACATTGGTCTGAAAGTACCCTTTGTTCTGACATTTTAGTAGTTAGTTAATATTGAAAACCTTTTTTCGGTAAACATTCACTCACAATTTCCAATTCATCAATTGCTTCAATTCTGGTTTGGTGAGATATAATTCTGGTTCCGTTTCGTATCTTTTCTGAACAATTTTAGGAAGCTCATTTATCCTCCATTCTTCTAATTCTCTTAGATTTTTTTTGCTGTTTGATACTTCTTCCAGCACGACGTTGTAAAGATGTTTCTTAGCATCAATAAACCCAACAGCACTCATCTTAATAGCACAACTGACTCTTTATTTCAATGGTTGAAGTAAGAAATTGTGGCCATTTATGGTTCAAAATTCTCGACTAAGTTCTCAAATATGCTCAGTGCTCATGTGGCACAAAACGTCGCGAAATTTTCAAGTCCGGTTTACGTAACATTTGAACAGAAAATTGACGAGCGCATTATAAAATATTTTATATTTAAAAAGGACGATGAGTACACTTTCTTCTTTTCTCAAACCATTCATCCATTCCACAAGAACTTGCTAAACAATCATGTCTTTACAAATTTTTAGTGACAAAGGAAGAGACAGACTAGCTCTAGCTAATAATATCAAATTGTCCATTGCTGCTAACGCTTTCGGCCAATTATTTTCACCAGAGCCAGGTAAGTAAGATCTTATTAATGATGTGCAATTCCATGAGTACTAATTATTTAAATAGAACAACCATCTTTATTATTGAAGGGTAAGGACGGATTCGAATTATCAGAGCCAAATGCCATTGTTAAATATTTAGCTAATGACTTTACTCAAACATCAGAAATTGATTATGAAGAAGAGATATTACACGTATTACTCAACTCTGGTAAATCAGACGAATCAATCTTGACCAAATCACCAGCTACTAAATTAGAAAAATTGACAGCATCATCAATCATTTTATTTGCATCAACTTTTGCTTTGAATAAATCTGCATTCCCAGAATTTCAAAAAAATGAACATGTCCTTAAAGGTTTGGAACAAGCCATTGCAGTCACTAACTTAGAGCGTCCAAAAGCTGAACACACTGGTACCGCTGCATACAAACAAGGATTTGAAGTTAAGGAACAAGGTAAGAACATCCTACCAAAAGAAGGTGAAAGAAATATTTTGATCACTTCAGCTTTACCATATGTTAACAACGTTCCACATTTAGGTAACATTATTGGTTCAGTTTTAAGTGCTGATTTCTATTCTCGTTACGCCAAATCAAGAAACTACAATGCTCTTTATATCTGTGGTACTGATGAATATGGTACTGCTACTGAAACCAAAGCTTTAGAAGAAGGTGTTACTCCAAGAGAATTATGTAACAAATATCACAAAATTCATTCAGATGTTTATAAATGGTTCCAAATCGAATTTGATCACTTTGGTCGTACAACCACTCAACAACAAACTGATATTGCACAAGATATCTTTTTGAAGTTAAATGAAAATGGATATTTAGAAGAACAATCAATGAGACAATTATATTGTCCAGTACACAAAGGGTTCTTGGCTGATCGTTTCGTTGAAGGTGAATGTCCAAAATGTGGTTATGAAGATGCTAGAGGTGATCAATGTGATAAATGTGGTGCCTTATTAGATCCATTCGAATTAGTTAAACCACGTTGTAAATTAGATAATGCTTCACCAGAAGAAAGAACATCAAACCATGTCTTCTTATCATTGGACAAATTAGAACCAGAAACCCGTGCTTGGTTTGAAGGGGCTGCTAAGAAGGGTGATTGGTCAAAGAACGGTGTTGCTATTACTCAAAACTGGTTGAATGAAGGTTTAAACGCCAGATGTATTACTAGAGATTTGAAATGGGGTACACCAGTTCCGTTAGAAAAATTTGCTGATAAAGTGCTTTATGTTTGGTTTGATGCTTGTATTGGTTATGTTTCCATTACTGCTAACTATACCGAAGATTGGGCTAAATGGTGGAAAGAACCAGAGAATGTTGAGCTATATCAATTTATGGGTAAAGATAATGTTCCGTTCCACACTGTTATTTTCCCATCTTCTCAAATCGGTACTAGAGAAAAATGGACTCAACTGCATCATTTAAGTACATCTGAATATTTACAATATGAAGGTGGTAAATTTTCCAAATCAAGAGGTATTGGTGTTTTCGGTAACAATGCACAAGACTCAGGTATTTCACCATCAGTATGGAGATACTATTTGGCTTCTGTCAGACCTGAAACTTCAGATTCACAATTCTCTTGGGATGATTTCGCTTCAAGAAACAACAATGAATTATTGGCCAACTTGGGTAACTTTGTTAACAGAATTGTTAAATTTGTTAATGCTAAATACAACGGTGTCATTCCAAAGTATGATCCAAAGAACATTCCAGGCTATGATGCTTTAGTCAAGGATTTGAATTCTTTATTAAAATCATATAATACTGAAATGGAAGCTGTTCATGAACGTCGTGGTTTAGAATTAGCTATGGCTATTTCTGCTAGAGGTAACCAATTTTTACAAGACAACAAGTTGGATAATTCCTTGTACAATGATTTACCAGACAAATCTGACGCAGTTGTTGGTGTTGGTTTGAACATTGTTTATTTAGTTGCTTCCGTTATTGCTCCATTTATGCCAGAAACTACCAAGCAAATTGATGAAATGTTGAATGTTCCACAATTAGCCATCCCAGATGAATTCACTTTGATTCTTGAAGGTACTCATAATATCAACAAGGCTCAATACTTATTCAAACGTATTGAAGGTAAAGATATTGAAGCTTTAAGAGCTAAATATGGTGGTAAACAATCAAAAAACTGAAAGAGTTTGTATTTTTGTAAGTGTTTTTTCAGTTTTATAATGAATAGAATTAATTATGTTAGAAGATCTAGTAGTTCTCACGTAGTATAATTCAAGTTCTTATTCACATTTAGCTTATTATGATTAGTCATCTTCCGCGAATTTAAGAAATTTAAAAAATTGTATATAGATGATACGCTTCAAAGATCGTGGATATCTTCACTTCGCAAATTAAAAATATTAGGACTACAAGATGTCTGAAGAAATCATAAGCCAAGCTAAAAGCTATTTGAAGAATGTTCCTGTAACCGTGATTTCACAAGGTGCAGAAGCTGTTGTTTTCACAACAAGTCAACATCCATATTTACCTAAAGAAATTGCACCAAAAGGTATCAAACATAAAGATCAATATATTATTAAATTTAGACCTCCAAAGAAATATAGACATCCAATACTAGATGCACAACTCACCAAGAGAAGAACTCTAGCAGAAGCAAGAATATTACAAAGATTAACGATTATTCCAGAGGTACATACACCAAGCTTATTAGCTGTTGATCCAAGAAGTGGGATTTTATGGATGGAATGTATTGGTGAACTATTACCTGATGGGAAACTAAGCTCGCTTAAGAACTGGCTATGGCAATACAATGGAGATGAGGAGAAGGCAACAAGGGATGAAGCTAAAACAATCTTAGAAGGTGTCGGTAAAGAGATTGGATATCTACATTTGAATGATCTTATTCATGGTGATTTAACAAGTTCAAATATCGTCTTACAAAAAGGTATTGAAAGCGGTGATTGGGAAGCCTTTTTAATTGATTTTGGGCTTGGATCAGTATCAACCCTTGTTGAGGATAAAGCTGTTGATTTATATGTTCTAGAGAGAGCAATTTTAAGTACACATCCATTATATTCAGATCACTATAACAAATGGCTTCTTGATGGTTACTCAAGCGTTTATACAGGAAAACAAAATGCAAAGAAATTGAAGGAAGTTTTAAATAGATACGAAGATGTTAGAATGAGGGGTAGAAAGAGAAGTATGTTAGGTTAGAATTTTTGTACATAATAAGTAATAGTCATTAATTCATTTATTTGATATCCAATGTAGAAAACGCACGATCTATATCATTAAGCGGTTCTTTTGGAGGTTCAGGTACTTCTGTCTGATGTGTGGATTCATTTAATTGATTATCATTTGTGGCCAATGTACTTTTTTTTTGTGGCGTGAGTAAGGTATTTGATCCACCAATATAACCAGGTGCAAGTTTCCGTACTACTGATTCATGCCAGGTTTGATAAGCTTCTTTTTCTTTTGCCCCATAATTCTTTATCTCTTCTTTAACATTACCACATTCTGTAATCCATGCTTCCAAGTTGTCCTGAGTAACGTTGGTTCCTGGTAATTGAGTTGGTAAAGGCTTATAATTAAATGGTAATGTGACAGGTTTTGGTGTGTTGTAGAAAGGTGAGACGATCAACGGTATTTGTGCCAGTAATGGGTGTGCTAGTAGTGTTAGTAATACTATTGTCTCAGTTATTGACAAGCTCACATACCTCTCTCTCCATCCATCTTAAATACTTTTAGTCTTTTATTTTGTTAAATTTCCAATCTTAAAGTGAAAGATCACAAATGGGTTCTTGATTATTATGGCTGTATGACTTCAATTTCCGAGGCTTGATCACATGATTCTCAGCTGATTACAATCTTTGAATTCCGGCCTATCGAACGAGTATAAACTCGCTTATTAAAATTAAGAAATCTTTCTCAACTGAAGCTTTTACATTCCACGATTTAAACCATTGAGAAACTACTAAAGTCACAATGTTACCACAGCCTATAAATATCCAAAACTGGATCAAAGAAAATGAACATTTATTACAACCACCTGTTAACAATTTCTGTTTACATAGAGGTGGTTTCACAGTGATGGTAAGTCCATATACTCCGAGAAACAATAAGATCTTCTTTTATTAACTGATTTCTTCAATAGATTGTTGGTGGACCAAACGAGCGTACTGATTATCATGTGAATCAAACACCAGAGTGGTTTTATATGTACAAAGGTGATATGACTCTTAAAGTTGTTGATGACAATCAATTTAGAGATATCACTATTCGTGAAGGTGATTCATTTTTATTACCAGGAAACACACCACACAATCCGGTAAGATATGCTGATACTATAGGTATAGTTGTTGAACAAGATAGACCTGAAGGTGTTGATGATCAAATTAGATGGTATTGCACTAATTGTTCTGAAATTGTTCATAATATTACATTCCACTGTACCAATTTAGGTACACAAGTTAAAGAAGCTATATTAAGTTTTGATGGTGACATTGAATCAAGAACTTGTAAGAAATGTGGTACATTAAACTACTCAAAACCTCAATGATTAATGAATGTATATAAATATATAATCAACTGTACAAATGGAAAATTAAATTTAACGTTTTATATAAGGATTAGAATTAGGCGTATATAAGGTTATCAAAATGACCTTCAAAAGCATTAACTAACCATGTTTCTAATTTTTTGTAAACGATAGCATTTGCATTATGAAAATCAATATTATGATTAGAGTCTGGATATACTTTCATATCAAAATTTGCAACGCTGGCCAAATTAAATTTATCGAAAAGTCTCAATGAGTTTTGAACATGAACATTGTCATCACCTGTTCCATGCATGACCAAGAATCTTTTGACATCTTTAAAAGCATAGACATTATTAACACGAGACTCATGATAGCCAACTTCATTATCTTTAGGTTGTCCCATATATCTTTCGGTATAAATAGAATCATATAATGTCCAATCAGTCACTGGTGCAACAGCCATACCATATTTGAAAACATTTCCACCATCAAATTCTAATGTCTTTAAAGTTGAAAATCCACCATAAGACCATCCCCAAATTGCAGTTTGGTCTTCATCGATATAAGGTCTTGAGTCAATCCATTCTCTGGTGACTTCTGTTATATCTCTTGGTTCCCAATAACCAATGTGACCATTAGCCCATGATCTATATTTCCAACCTTGACCACCAGTACCTCTTGGGTCAATATAAAGGATCACTGCATTTGTTTTTAAGCCCACAGTATCTTCGAATGAGATTTGGAACTTGGATGAAACCTTCTTAGAACCAGGTCCACCATAAACATTCACAAGTAAGGGATGTGTACCGTTTGGTTTGAAGCCTTTTGGTAAAACTTCAACAACATTGACTGTCACTGGATTTCCATCTTCATCTTCATCCACTTTAACCTTATGGTATGAGATATCTTCACCGAAGAAATTATGTACACTAGCTCTTTTATGTAATCTATCTTTACCATACATTAATGGTAGCTCAGGTCCATCTTTTGTAATAACGTTATGTCTTGATGTTGGCGAGAATGAAACAGTATAGTAACCCAATTGATTTGTATCTGTTAAAGATGTCATATTTTGGTTCCCAATATCAACAGAGTATAAATGATTTTCAAATGAAGATCTTCTATTAGCAGTGAAAAATATCTTGTTTTGTTCTTGATCATATGCTAAAGCACCACTAGTAGTTTCCCAATCTCCTTTGGTTAATGGTATAACCTTTGCCTTTCCATCAGTTATTTCAAACAAACCTAAATGGTTATACCCGTCAACAACTATCGTATCAATAAATCCCAAGTTTGAACGACCAAATTTCTCGTTCTTTGAGATTGGTACCATATCACTAAATTTCTCGATCCACCCATTGTATTCCTTCAATGCATCAACTGTATGAATAATACTTGTTTTACCCGTTCTGGAACTTAAATGCCTATAGTTTAGGATCTTGGATTCTCTATTTGTTTCTCTAACTATAAAGTTTTCTGAATCAAGCCATTGACATCCATAAATAACAAAATCATCACCCAAAGTAGAGCCTGATCTATCAACTTCTTTATTTTCACCGGTATGTATGTTATAATTGTGTAATGAAACTAAGGGATTTGCACCACCTGGTTTTGGATATTTCAATTTCTCAACTTTTGGAAATTGATCATCTTCAATGAAGAATTCTAAATCATGATCTTTAACTTTCGTGTCGTCTGTTCTCATATATATCAGATTAGATTCATCTGGTGACCACCATATAGCCGAATCAGTAGCCAAAACTTCTTCTTCATATACCCAATCAGTTTTACCATTCAGAATATCTGATTTACCATCTGTACTTATCTGTTTGACATTTGAGGTTTTGACATCATAAACATACAAGTTATTATCTTGAACAAATGATATATAGTTGAATTTAGGAGACCATATAGCCAGTGACAATTTAGATTCTTTTCCATCCTTAGATAACGGTTGAAAGGTTTTCAACTCGATATTGTATAGCCAATAAAGACTTTTACCAGAATGTCTGAATTCAGCTTCTTTATTGGTACCCACTATAGCATATTTAACAGTATAGCTTGGTTTAAAGTCTGATATTTCATGCTCATGATTATCATGGCTAAATTTATCCTGGTCATACAGCACCTGTTGAAATTGTCTATCTGATGATTTCTTTAATATAAAAGCTCTATTTTCACTTGATAAATAAATACCTTCATCTTCATCTTTGGTAATATTTAATGATCCAGAGTCCAAAAAGTCAATAGGTTCAATAATGATATCACCAACAATTGATTCTGTGGGTAGTGGATCACGCTCTTTGTGTATATCATATTCTACCAATGGGAGTGCGGTCCTAGTCGGAATCTTGAGCCGCGTTGTGGATGTAGATATACTTGACTGATTTGAAGTCTTTGAAGGGGTATAGTGATAATTTGATTTTTTTGCACCAACTGAATAGCCAAACAATCCCACAACCCACAATGCAACGACAGCAGCGAATATGACTGAAATCCATAACTTTCTCCTTACACCACCTTTGTTAGCATTCAAATAACCTGAGCTTGATGTGAAATCTTCGGCTTCATCATTGATATCTGTGTATCTGTTGATGCCTTGAAGAAGCTCAGAGGTCTGTGAGTTAATAGATGATCTAGATGTTGATCTGGTGCTTTCACTAGATACTCTTGATTGAGTTTGTTCTGGTTGATGATCTTGTGACTGGCCCTCTCCACGCTCCAAATCAATGTCGTTGAACTGGGAGGAGTCCACCAGCTCGTAGCTTTCTTGCTTCTTGTCACTGAGCAATCCCATTTCTCGACAGCTACCTGTAGCTTATTATGTGAGGGTCAGAACTTGGTCAATTAATTCTGGACAAATGATTAATGTTGATGTTTTGATGTAAATTTGTTTCCAAGAGTCTATGGATATTTTCAATTTACAGCCCGCGAAAGTAGAACAAAAATGACACACGTATAACTTTCAGCTAACTTCAGTATTTTAGTACAAGCGCAGAAGTTGATCTAAAGGCTCAGAAAAAAGCGAAATGGTTGGTCCTGAGATACCAGAGAAGATTCAAAAGATAAGGAATGAAAGACTAGGTAGAAATACCAAAATTATTGACGAACAAATTTCTGATGACGGAGATTTCGCTGGCCCAAGTCTTGATTATTACAATATCAATGAAGGTGAAAATAAAGCAGAAGAGGAATTGGGAAGGATAAGGCTACAAAAAGCTCAAATTGAAAACCACAAAACTAAAAATATTGATGGAAATGGTTCAAAGCATGATTCATGGATGTCAATGAAACCTGAATGGGCCCAGGAAAATTCATCAAGCTCGAAATCAAAACTCACAAATCATAGTACTGAATCAAAGCAACCATCTGAATCAATAAGGCCTTCGTTACTTGAACAACATAAAGAGAGGAGACGATTAGAAGGTCTGGATAAAAATGAAGGCGTCAAGTACGACTCAAATGAGAGTTTGAATACTGAAATCAGAAAAGAAATTTTCAGAAAGGCATCAAATTTAAATGATAGATTTACAAAAGGTTCATAAAAATACAAAATAATAATAATTATTAAACATTAAATACTTGGTCTTTAGTTCAATTTCTATCAATCATTGACCAATTTTATCAAAATCTCCTTGGAATGCATCTCTCAACCAATTGAACAATTTATCATAAACAACTTTATTAGCATTATGATGATAAATACTATGATCGGAATCAGGGAAAACATGAACGTCATAATTCTCCACTGATTTAATATCCAAAAGATCTAACAGAGAATAAGTATTTTGAATATGAACGTTATCATCAGCAGTACCATGCATGACTAAAAATCTTTTAGCTTTACCTAAATTTTCCACATTTGAGATTTGAGATTCTTTATAACCATCTTTATTATCATCAGGTTTATCCATATATCTTTCTGTGTATATAGAGTCATAAAATAACCAATTAGTTACAGGTGCCACAGCCATACCATATTTAAAAGTTTCTCCACCATCAAATTCTAAAGTTTTCAATGTAGTGAACCCACCATATGACCAACCCCAAACTGAAGTTCTTTCAGTATCTATAAAGCCCTTTTCAATCCATTTTTTAGTGACAGTTGTTATATCCCTTGGTTCCCAATGACCAATTTTACGTTTTGCCCACGATCTATGTTTCCAACCTTGACCACCTGTTCCTCTTGGTTCAATATATAACACAACAGCATCCAATGATGATGATATAGTATCTTCAAATCCAATATCAAATTTAGAGTTCACAACTTGTGAGCCTGGACCAGCATAAAAGTGTACCAATAATGGATATTTCTTCTTTTCATCAAAATTTGGTGGTAAGTATTCAATGACATTGACGTCAAGTGGTGTATCATCATCATATTTATCGACATTAACTCTATGGTATTTCTTTGTTGGTAAATCATATGCACGTTTGGACATTTCCAGCATGGTAGCTAATGATAATAATTTAATCTCATATAATCCTTCAACTTTATACATCTTTTGAGATGGTGTTTCTGGACCTTGATAATTTAAGAAAACATATGAAGCATCTGGTGAAAAATCAGCTTCATAGTATGCTTGTTCTAAGGCATCACCCAATGATGATAGTTCATCTGTAGCTAAATTAATAGAATAAACATGCTTATCAATTGATGATCTTTTATTGGAATGGAAATAGACTGAATCTTTCTTTTTACTATAGCTTATTGGTGAGTTCAAAACTTCCCATTCTCCAGTTGTAAGGAATTTTGGAGTTTCAGTTACTGCTGTTTGGAAATATGCCAAATGATTATAGCCATCCTTAACTAAGACATCAACATAACCCCATGATGAAGAACCATCTCTTGGTGGGATTGGAACAATTTTATTGAATTTTTCAATCCATCCTGAATATTCCTTCCCTGCATCAACTCTATAAATAACTTTACCTTCATTTGTCAAAGGATTAAAATGACGAACAGCTAATCTATTAGATTCCCTATCTGTTTCTTTGACCAAGAAATTTTCTTCATCGATAAATAAAGCTTCATAAATCACGAAATCATCACCAAATTCATTATCTGGTCTTTGAACATCATTCAACTCGCCAGATTCCATATTGTACCATTTTAATGAAACTCTTGGATTTGGAAAGCCTGGTTTTGGATATGAAACATCTTTAGCAATAGGATATTTGGAAGCACCATCTGAGTTTTGAACGTAGTAATCTAAGTGATATTTAGGAACTGATTTTTCATCAGTGCGCATAAATGCAAAATATGCTTCATCCGGGGACCACCATAATGCTTTATCATCAGCAAGGACTTCTTCTTCATAAACCCAATCTGTTTTAGCATTATATATATTATTAGAGCCATCATTTGTAATCCTTTTAACATTTTGGTCTCTAACATCTTTGACGTATAAATCATTATTTTGAACATATGAGATATAATTATACTTTGGTGACCACGTAGCATAAGATACTTTGACTGGTTTAGTTTTATCTTTGGTGACAACTGGAGTAAAAGTTTGATCTTTGATGTTATAAACCCAATAATACGCATTTGAAGAATGTCTATAAATCAATTCTTCATCTGAAGAGACTAATGCTAATGTAAGATCGAAATTTGGTTCAAATTTAGCAACACGATGTTTTTGACCTTCATATTCAAAAGTTAAATCATTTAATAGTGTCTCTTTGTATGAACTATCTGTACCTTTTTCCACTACTATCTTATTATGTGCTCTTGTGAAATGGAGACCTTCATCATTGAACTCGGTAGTTTGAGCTGGTGGTTGAACAAAATGGATATCTGAGTCATATACATAAAATTTACCAGCTCTTATTTCATCCATTGTGATCTTCTTTTTACCTTTTGGAGCGGCTTGTTTGGGGGTTTCAGGTTCTTCTTGAGGCTTTGATTCTGCTTTACCATCACTATCACTATTACTTTCAGGTTTTGATTCTGGTTTATTATCTTCAGGGGTTTCTTTAGGTTTTGCAGCATCAACTGGTTCTCCGTTATTATTATACTGAGCGTCATCAGTTTTTGGTGATTCAGATTCTGGTGTCTTTTCATTTGAGTTATTTGAGGTCTTATTGTTGTAATAATTGGTTATATCAGCCCCAATATTAGTTGTATATATTGCAGTACCAATTGTCCCCACGATGGCTAGTATTAGAAATGTAAACAAAAACTTGCGTTTTTTGAAGCTTCTGAAAGAAAATTTTGACCTTGTCGGGCTTGCGATTGTATCAAATTTGTTTCTAAGAAACTTTGAATCTGAAGCATCAGTTGTTTGAGGAAAGATATCATCTGAAGATGTAGTTATGTTTTGTTCTAAATCCTTGTTGAAAGACTGGCTATCCACCAGCTCGTAGGATCCCTGGTTATCCTTTGGCATTATCCACTATATTCAGCTAGCTTGGAACGAGTAACTCTTGATCAAAGAAAGCCTTTCAATTGAACTTGTACTTTTCGATATCTGGAAACTTTTCAGTGTTGAAGTTTGTCACAATTTCGATGTTTTGAGGTTGACAGTTTTATCACGAACCCTTTGAATGGCGAATCCGGTAATTTGACACACCCAAACACACTTTGAGCCCGATATCTCAACTCTCAACTTCACCGGTTTCATGAAGTTCCAAGGCTACAAAGCTACAAATTGATGGCTTAAGAATGTATTAACGTGTGTTTGATCAACTTTGACTATCAAAGCTAGCATATATAACGGATAGACTTGAGCTTGGTATTCATTTCATAAGCATCGTATTAGGACTGATAACTGATAGCACCGAATGATTCAAAAACAAATACCTCTGAACTTCAAACAATGATACTTAGCACCAGATGATCTTTTTTCAATAGGTATTGGATCTTCAGTTGTTGCTGAAGTGGTTGGGGCCTCGTTCTTTTGAGCTATAGGAGCACCTGTGACTATTAAAACGGCAAATGATGAAAAGATTATTGTATTTGATAACTTCATAATGGCTTAGTTGGTTTCTGAGTATTGTCTTCTGACTATCTATGAACTTCATTTAAATACTTTTTTGGAAATTCCTCATTGCTTTTATACTTGGAATAAGTGCTCAATAAAACTAGTCTTGGGAGTTGAATGTTTGACTATACCAAATGATGAAGTTGGTGATTTTCAATAATGCCTTGAGGACGATTCAATATAAAGTACCTACGTGCTACAAACTATACTTTCTTAATACACTAGTTGATAAGCATTTCTTTCACTCTCAGGATGTCTGAAAAAAAATACTAGCATCCTAATATCACCAAAAGTCGCTAATGATTGGAAGATCAATTACAATATTACACCTCAGGATGATTGATTGATAGCTTGAAATGGCCTCAGGAAGCTAAAGATCATTAAAAACCAGATAGAAAATGTAAATCTTTGACTATTTATCATAAGATATGATCTGATCAACTGACCGTCGTCCTCATCAACCATCATTCCCTCGCTAAACAGCGTACTGGTAGATCAATAAGATTTCTAGCCGACTTTGATCTTCATGACTTCGACTACATCTACAACTGACAGATTTATTGGTCTCTATATGTTGATGTTTTAATAATATATTGATTTACAATTGATCATAAGAAGTATAAAGATATAATATATTATCATAAAAATGTGTGGTATTTAAGAATTGAAGTGTTTAATTATTTCAGATCAGCTTATATTGCTCAACAGGCAGCATATCATCAGCATCATAAATATCAATATTATTCATGCAACACAAGTGTGACGGTCACAATAAGGTCTATCAGGTACTTGAAAACTGTCTCTTTTTGAAGGAACAACAGGCTTAAGTGTTGTATAAGCATTTGGTCCCTTAACTGGTGGTGCACCAGAGACCATCAAGGCAGAAACTGTTGATAGAATGATTAATGATAGTTTCATTTTAAAATATGTTTTCTTTGATCAAATTGTTGATTGTACTAAGAAAATTAAATAAGAAGAAGATTAAAGAATGCAGAATAATTTATGCCTTTTATACTTGATTATTTCAAGTGTAAACTACGGTTTCATTGATATGTTAAATGAGCTTGTTAGCTGAAAGCCCATTATATCCGTATAAGGCCTTTCGAAACTTACAGGCCAAATTTATATTAGGATTTGCCTTAACAAGTCCTAAATCTAATGTTTTTGGGTGTATAGGAAATATGAGCAGATTGAAGTGGGAGAACTTAAGTACTGAACAGATATGATGTCTTTTTATTTAGTACGACTATTATCAAGATGGTAGCTGTTTCATAGACATTTATCTTTTAGGCGAGGAGCGAGGAGCGAGGAGATCATTGGTACAAATTAATCGTGATTCTCCTTGATATCGTAGCTGATCAAGGATCACTTATCTTAATAGAAACAGAGATGACCCCTGTAGTATCCATGTCAGCTTTCATGCATCTAATTTATATCATACCATCTCAAACTCGATATGTGACAATTGTGTCCAAACTTCATCTTGTCTCAATAAAAGACTGTTCGAGATTCGCTATAGTACGGAGGATATATTATAAGAGGTCAATCTGAGAGTCTACTGAGAAGTATACCTAGTATCTTGAGTATAGTACTTAGACCGTATGAATCATGATTCATCAAATTAGCTTGCTCTAGTTTTCATGGGAAAGAATTAAGAATTACTCCTGACGATCATTTCATTAAGACATGCGTGGAAATTCCGTAAAACTGCGAGGATAAACAAGGGAATAAGCACATACTATTTCGAGTTACAACTTACGAGTATCAAGTCTCGACTCTCAACTACGTAAAATCCAAATATATGAATTACAATCATATAATCTAAAAGTGTTATGTGTGGTTTTTGCCTATAGACCCTGCTTCGTTACCACTACAGACTCCACAAATGACATTGATCGAATAGAGAAATTTGTTACCACTCAAGATACGAGATCTCGATTTAAGATAGTATTGTTGATTGTATTGTTATTAAATAGTTTCTATTTAGGGATTCAAGTATTTCAGGATGGACCAAACACATTAATTAAAATGTTTGGCATCATCAAACCTATAATTCGCAAAATAAGAGTATCATGCAGCATATTGATTTTATAACAGCTAGATAATTGTTGATTTATATATGGAATATGGATCTTTACATATATTTTCCAATCATTCGCAAGTGGACAAGTCTTTTTAATCAAGCAGAACTTCTGGTACACCTAATATATATTTTCTTTTGTACTTCAAAACATTTGAGCTGATTGGTACGGAGCTACTACTGTTGGAACATTATTTCTAAATTCATGGTCTCATATTTATATTTGCATTAAGTATCAATTAAAGTGAATAATGTCATAGATATTTAGGAGATCTAAAAGTAAATCTAAAACTCATCAACAATAAACAATTATATATTTAATCATGTGGATGTCTATTCTTTATAATGGCGTTGGGAAACTTTCTTATCTTGCATAAATTAGCCATAAAGATTCAAAAGAGCATGTCATTGAACTCAGGAATCTGTTGGGATGTTTCATCAGTTTTCCTCTCAATATAACATTCATCACAGCCATAAAAATATTTTGAATCAAAAGTGGTACCATCAAGTAAATATCCACAGCTCGCACCCTCAGCCTTTTGGAAGCCCTGGTTCAATGGGTAATCTTGTGTTTCAGGATAGTTTGAAAGATCATTTTGATTTATAGAATAAAGTTGTGATACTATTGATGAACCAGGTGGATTGCTATAATCTGAATATAACGGTATGGAATTTATAGGAGCACTGAATATCATACTAGTTGAAGGATTTTGACTTGGATAATCAAACGAAAGTGATGAATCTGACGATGATGAAGCAGAAGGGTTTTTGTAATTATTCTGATCATTTCTATCACTGGGTATCGAAATTTCTGAATTCGATGTAATTGACCTATTTGAATTTGAAGAATCTGATCCATTACTATCATCAGAAGCTTTAAGGAGCTGAATGTCAGGTTTTTTACACCTCAAGTATTTATGGTTAGAGTTTTGATGCCTTTGTGACTTCTTATTTGATTCAGTTGATAACAATGTGGATATGACTATATTCATATTGAACTCATCTTCATTGATATAAATATTTGGCTCATTGATAAACTGTGAGATTTCAGATGGAGTTTTAGCCATTTTTAACAATTGAGACATTGATTTTATCAATATTGAAACTCTTGTTTCTAACATATCCACATAACTTGAGCTATAAGCCTTCTCATCTTTCTTTTTATTTGTCAAGTAAGTACAAATCTTATTATCTTGCAAGCATCTTGTACATGGCCTTTGACCATCACATTTAGTTTTAGATTTCCGACAACATTCACAAGCTTTGCTTACCCTTTTCTTATGTTGTTTTTTAATAATAGCAGTAACTTTAGCCATTGTTTAAATTTAACTCTATGTGATATCACTTCTTCACACCACCAACTATATCTGCAAAGAGACAACGAACAATAAATGGGAATAATTGTTGTATTTATATCAAGACATAATTATTGAATCCATATGAGGTAATATAATGCAATCAACTGCAACAAGATATGAATTCATAACTAACGATAATCAAAATCCAAACTTTAACCAACATAAAAGCACGAGCTCCTACTCATACAATTCATATAATTGTTCAGAATTAACGCAGCGACAAAAAACTTATAAGAAAGAATAAACTTCAACATCCAATCATATAGCCCTGAAAAAAAAACAGGTAAATACCTATTCTCAACGCCACTAGTATAAAAGACACATTTCTAGTGTTTCGAACTGACTTCTTAACAAAAGCTCAAATGCTCTATGAGGAATCTATCAGTCTTCCAACAGTTGCTTTGAAGATAATATACCTTGCATATGAGTAATTCCCTTCCGGTTATATGTAATATCAAAAGTTTGGAATATTAAAGAATATCAGAGAATAACATCAAATGCATCTAGAAATGAATGTAAATCTTCTAAGCATGGCTTATGAACTATCCATCAAAAATTTATATGAGTACCCAAAGTTATTATTAATAAAATGTTTTAGAAATGCTGCAATTTTCTAAAAAGGTTCATGGTGCCGATTACAGAAAAACTTTTCCAATTCCCATCTAACTTCTGCCTTATATCCCAAAGCTATGAACACGCATTTCGAGATCGAAAAACACAAGTCACCGATTCCATATTTTCCTTTTATGGTCTTTCTTTAATCTTCTTTTAAATTATACTCAAACATCCTTAGAATTTGTCTTAGAACTTGTCGATAAGATGCTAGGTTAGTTAAACTGCAGAACTTCAAGCATCTGAACTTTAATAATGACAACTTCTTAACGTTATGAACAAAGTCTGGATGATAAACTAATGTTTATGAGCAGAAATCACCGCGTGTGTTTGTTCTTGGACATAAGATCTAAGGATATCAAGTCATCTTAACAACTTGAAATATTAACATATGAACCTTAAAAGGGTACAAAACAATCAATAGCTTGCTGGAAAACTGGTGTGATACACCACGAGTTGTTCAATACCTTTCACCCAATATAACCTTGGGTCCATTGAAAATAAATAAATGTTAACACTTTCATTTCATGGAGGACTCGGAATAAAGTGGCAAATGGTCATGAAATAAAGATTTCCATTATTTTCTATCAATTTCCAGGTAAATTATCAAAAATATCACAAAATAATTTGGCATTTCCTTCATTTGACCATTGAAATAATCATCAGCATCGGTCAAAACATCATGGTAAGCTAATAGGTCCAAACCTGGTGATGGTGATGCTTTATTATAAATGCTTTTTAGTTGGTGAGGAATTCATAGGTTTAGTTATGCTTTGAATTTGGTCTTTATCAATCAAGTATTCATTGAGATAGATGCTGGATAGTGTGAGTTCACGGTAAACTTGAGTTCAAAATCTTGAATAAACTTCAAGTGATGTTTGAGTTTTGCAGATTTGTAACAAGTCATCCATGGGTAGCACGAGGAAAGAATATGATGCTAAACTAACATTGGTAGTCAGGAATCATAGCAGTTGAACCATTATCAGCTTTTAAAATTAACACCATTCATAATCAGCAAATACCATGATTAATAACCGAAACTACCACTTAATTATAGATTCATGAAGATTACTCACATCATAAAAAACACATGTAACACAGATTTTGGAAATCACAACAAGGACAGGTTTTGAATTTTATTGGGAATCATCAAGTACGAAACCATAACATCAACTTCAGCAGCACCAACAATTATTTTCAAGCTATGTAACATCTTTCCACCAATATAATATCATCTATTGAATCATTATCAGCTCTTTTTAATATCAACAGCACCATGTTTTGATAATCATAAAAAGTTTGTCATATTGTCATATATTTTCATTCTTCTTGTTACCAATCTGGATATAGAAAAAAATTCAATACCACTGAGCTTGAATACCCTTTGACACCCAATGTTATAGCAATACAGATTAAGTTTCTGTATAAAGCAGCTATAATGTTTTGTGATCTTTATAGAAGTTGTTGATATTGTTGAACATGTATAAATATGCTATTAGTTTTAAATTGAAGCTTCTAACAGGGTGATACTTCAAAATGATCTTGGATATAATCCTATTTTGCTATTGTTCTTAATGATGACTTTTCTTTGCTCTGGTCCACTGAACATTTGATCATATGAACTTCTATTGTTATTATTGACCTGTTTATATATTTGAGGTATTGGGTCTATAGAATCTCATAGAAATCAATTAATTTTCTATTCGCGGGAATATTGAATATCAGGATTCGGATATTTCAAATCAAATATGATATTGACTTTTGATATTGAAGATACGGTACGTGATGAACCGGTGCTGTACAACTAAATTTCTCTTCCAATGCTGGTTTTGTTTTTTTTTAATTAGATGGGTGTCATCGTCTTAAAAGCTAATAGTTTAAACTTTGGTTTCACCTTGGGCAAATATCACATTTTTTAACATAATTTTTTTGATCACTAATTTTTCCTAAAGCTTTGGAATATAAAATAGAGATCGTCTACAAATCCCTGTATAAAGCTTAGTCTATGTGATACCTACGTCAATCTATTATACAACAAGAAATAGTCTGTGGTATTGTGGTTTAACTCACTAACTAAGCACAAATCTAAATACATGCTTGAACTTATTGTCATTAATATTTTAGATATTTTAAAGATAGTATCAGGTATTGATGACAATAATATAGCTCTGTTTTTTTCATTCCCTCAAATATCCATAATCGTAGACTTAGATCTGGTTTAATCTATTCACTCCGATCCAATTTAATTGATGTACACTATTAGTAGTATATATGGCGCTATGGCATGCTACATATCTAGAAGAAAAACTCAAAACATCAATTCATGAACGATAAAGAATCAGATATTACTTGACCAATACCATTTGATATCATCAATATGAACATAATATCTCGATTCTAGCTATACTTCTCTGATTGATATTGTTTTTGTATTAACAGTGGACGTTTGATCATTGATTTTATATACTTCCTCTGATATAATAGAGTCGTATACAATCAATTAAAAGTCAAAGGTCCTATTAAATGAATGTGCCGGCAAGCAATAATATAATTTTCAACTTTCAAACGCTTCGAATTTCAATTGCAAAATATTTTCAATTGACTTATGGACGTATGCCATGAAGAAATCAAATTGTGAACTTATGAACAAATAACAAATGAAACAAAACAACAATTAAAGTAGAAAAGTAATCAAAAATTAAAAAATTCATTCTTTTTTCTCTTTATATATTTGTTTTAAATTTGAATTAGCCGCCAACTAGTATAATTAATTAACCCGCGAATATAATTGTTGCACTGTTGTTCCGGGTAAATATTCGCGAATTTTTAGTTTTTCATAATCAAGAAAAAATTAATATACCATAATGAAAAACTATATGGTGTCAATTGAAAGATTTAATTGGAAACCTACACTAGATATAAATCAACAAATTTATTCACCATGTCCAACACATTATTTGATGATATTTTCAACATAACGGATGTCGATGCCGCAAGATACAACAAAGTATCACGTATAAATGGTACTTCTTCAACTTCATCAGATATTAAAATTACTTTAGATATAAATTCAGATTTATTCCCAGTTACATCAGGTGAAGCATTAACAATCACATTAGCTTCTTCATTAGCATTAGATGACAAAAACAAAGATACTACTGGTTCATGGAGAGCTCCAAAAGCTGGTGAAAAATCATTAGCTGATGATTATGATTATGTTATGTATGGTACTGTTTATAAATTTGAAGAAGGTTCAGATGATAAAATGTAAGTTAAAACCTCCCAAAATATTATGTTTATCATTTCGATTATACTAACTTTTTCAACTTATAGGTCTGTTTATATCTCATTTGGTGGTTTATTATTATGTCTAGAGGGTGGTTATCGTCATTTATCAAATTTGAAACAAGAAAACATCTATTTATTAATCCGTCGTTAAGTTATCATATTAACTTTTCATAATAGAATAAAAGCCATGATTCAAAATTTTAAAATAGTACAAAACAATAAAATGTATAATAGAGCATAGATCAAAGTTGTAGTGGATACATCATATGAAGCACACAATCCCTCATTTGAGAAGCTTTAAAGCCCTTCGTTCAAGATATGTGAAGATACCTTGTCTTTAATTAGTTTGTATTACAGTTCTATTTGAACCTCGTTTTATCATGTTTTTCAAAAATCAAACTCGGTTTCTTCGGTATTAAACAGTTTAAAATTGTAAAACATTCCTCGATAGTTTATATACCAAAAAAGTCTCGGCCGAGGATAAAAACCAGCATCAGATCCTCCGAAATTTCATAAATTGCGATCAGTATCATCAACTTAGCCAACTGAAACAACATTTATAGCTAACAGCTAGCCTAAAAAATTCAATTTACTTAATCAAGAAAACACAATGTCAAAGGATTCAACATCAACACAACTAAAAGAAATTGCAGAATCAACAAAACCTGGTATTTTAGATGATTCAGATTCAGTTGATTCAAATGTTCGTTATGCAGCTTATGCTAACCGTTTAAGAACTATATTTTTAGCATCACATCGTTATGTTGCTTATACTTCAGATATTGGTGAATCATTCCGTCCAGCTGTTCCACCAATTGCTGTAAAGGCATGTTATGGTATTTCATGGGCTTATATCTTAGGTGATGTTTCTTATGAAGCATGGAAGGCAAAATTAAGAAAAGAAGGTCGTTATATACCAGGTTTAAAACCTTGGGAAACTGATAAAATTCCTGAAAAGGGTGATTTCACTGCACAACAGTTAGCTGAATTAAATAAATTACCTGATTGGAGATTAGTTGGTCTTGAAAGAGGTTTATTTCAAAGTATTGCTAGTATGGGGTTACCAGCTTTTACTATTCATAGTGCTGTTAAATATGCAACAAATTATGCAAATAAAAATATTAAAAATGCTGTATTGAGAACTTGGGGTCCTATTGGGTTAGGGTTAAGTATTGTTCCTGCTTTACCTTATCTATTTGATAAACCTGTTGAACATGCTTTAGGTTATGTTTTCAAAAATTTAGAAAATTATCTACATAAAGATGAGCTAAAATTAGAATAAGTTATGTCATTGAAATTGAATTAAACGTCGTATATATAGAAGAAATTAAATTGTCATTAAGTTTTATTATATTGTAGATTCATACCTATGCCCATTGTCTAACTAGTGCGAATGAAAAATTAACAATAAATCCAGCAATAACAGCCATTCTTTGTCTTTTACTAAATAATTGCTCTTCTTTCAACAAAAATAAACTCAATACACCTAATAAACAACCAATTAAAATCCCAATTAATAAATCTTCATTCCCACCTAATCTACTACCTGCATTCCCAGTATTAAATTCATCCATTTCATTCACAGAACTATCAATCCACCTTTCTTCTAATTGTCTAATATCACGCCCTTGTGAGCCATCTGTATTTTCACCATTTGGTTCAGGTAGATCACCGTATAAAGATCTAAACTGTTGACGTAAGTTTTGAATATCTTCTTGTGAAAATCCTGCGTTTGCTAATCTATCAAATCCAATTGGGGCAGGTGTTGTACTTTGTTCTTGAACTTGGTTATCAAGTTCTGACTCTCTTTTCAGTTCATCTACAGAGAGCGTGTCACCGATTAAACAATGTATAATGAAGACTCGATCTAGTTCATGTTGTTCATTTGATTCTGAACCTAATGATGATTTACTAAATCTTTGTAATTGTAAAAATTCATCAATGAAATTTGTTGAATCTGTCAGCACTTTCCCCGAATGGATAAACCTAAGTCTCTTATTTGATAATGATGGATTTTGTTGACGAACAGATTGTTTCAACCAACGGTTAGATAATTCAGTTAATTTTATAAGTGGTAATTTAGCATCTTTTATTGTATTATCACTAAACCGTACAATGACTTGGATCTTATGAAGACTCATTCTAAATATAGTCCTGATATGCTAACCTAAACGAAACTCCCTTGATCAACTGGTTCTTCAACCATAAGATATTTCCAATTTTATATCTCACAATGCCCTATAAAAAAGCTCAAATATTAAATTACCGCCCCAGAAATACAAACATCACCACCGGGTAAAGTTCGCGCATTTTTCCAGGTGACTATAAAAAAAATTTCAACTTTACAAATTTCTTTCATCTTTCTACCATTTTTTTTCCTTTTCTTTAGTGCGGACAACCAGGACTATATCCGTGTTGCTTGTTATGTTCTTTTATCCCTACGATTTAACAAGCGTCAAGTCCTTGGAGAGAGCAAGTTTGGGGCCTACGCCGGTTCCTGTTGATCATCTTAATGCTCTTTTGTTCTTCTAGTGTCGCGACTACTCTTGCAGGTGGATCGTGTTGAGATTAGCAAGGGCTGGTAGATCATACAGCTTATTTTGTATAGAATTTATTGAATAGAATAAAATAATATTAAAATTTAAAATTCATTGATTGTATATACAAGATATTTTCTTTCTACCGCATTTAGTTATACAAATTAATACTACAACTGTGTGTACCTTATTCACAATTAGTCTATTCAAATATAAATAATACCCGTTCAACAGAATGTTTAGTTTGATGATCAGATCATAATGTTTTCAAATCTAATCTTTATAATGGATGGATCTAAAGAAATCCATAGTTGCAGTGAAAACAACTAATAAAATACCACCACCTGGACCTAATCTCAAAACTTTTGGTAAGAAACCTTTATATAATGCACTGAAACCTTCTTCTTTGTAAATCAAAGCTAAACTTGGTAAAGTCCAGTTATATTTTCTAACAACACCTGGAACATTAACAGTGTTTTGGATACGAGATTTAACAACATCAAATGGAGTATTGAAAATTGTACCAAATGTACCACCAATAGCACCAGCGGCTAAATCATTTATAGTTTTTTGAGTTGAAGATTTAGCTTCAGGTAATAAAGTTCTAATTTGATGAATGATACCGAAATAACCTGCATTCCAGACAATATGTCTCCATAATGTAGCTTCAAGACCATTATACAAAGCTAATGGACCTTCATGTTTAATGGTTTTGAAAAAAGCATCTGCAGCAGAATTATATTTTGATGAAACATCTTGGACTCTAATTTTAATCAATTCAAAAGGAACAACAACAAATGATTCCACGGCACCAGCACTAGCACCACTTAAGATTGATAAAGGTTGATTTAATTGTTGTACACCAAAGAATTTTTTATAAAATTTTGAAAATTCATCATTTGCAGCAAATTTTGTAGCTCTCTTTGGAGCTTCCATTAAAATTGGAGCACTAATACCTTTATATAATCTTGAAGGACCTTCTTTTTTAACAATTTTGGTTAAACAATCAATAACACCTGTATATTCAGCAGTTGCACCTGAACCAACTTGTAATTGGATACGAGTCTTCACGACATCTAATGGATACATCACAAGGATTTCACTGACACCGGCGACGGCACCAGATAAGAATTGATAAAGGAAAGGGAGAGCTAATTCATTTTGTTAGTATCACTGTTCTTGTTATAACTATTTGCCATAGTTAATACCATTATCATTTCCCTTGATATCCAGTTGGAATAGAATCAAATTGTTTGATTTCTTACCCACACTAGATAAGACCCGATCTGTGAGTAATACAAAAAAACGTCAACGGTCGAGCAGGTAGATGACAATGGCTTTAGCAGAGTGGCTCAACTCAACCCCAGGATCTGGATAACACTCACGTCTAGTGTCTGTGGACATTGTGCAATTCTGATTGAATAGTTAAATATGGTCTCTTGATGATAAATGACGTTGGTTTGAAGTGTCAAAAGTGGGAAGTTGTTTCGTTTTATGAATTTATCAATTCGCATGTAATTTCGAGAAAAACTTTCTCCAATGAAAAAATGTGGAAAATCAGCTGCTGAGGTAAAGAGCCAGAGAGGTAAACTTGTCGATAACTGAAAACACGATGGGTTATCGACACCGGTTAAAAGATCTAGTTGATTAGTAGATCAATCTCTACAAACCAGTTCAACTCTGGACTCATTTACCCAAAAGTTCAAGGTGGAAACTGTGTCTAATCGTCAACGGAAGCATTCTTCCAGGCCCAATAACTTACGCGACCTCCACCGACTCTTCCCGTTAAAGGTGATATCCTAATCTGTACATTTTTCACCGCATCAATTATACTTATCAGATCAATAGGAGAGTTATCAATTACACCCAGTAGTGTGACTAGAAGCTGATTGTTGAAGTGTTTCGAGCTAAGATCATGATGTTCAAAAGATTGTTTTCAACGAGCACAGTGGTGCGTGGAAAGAAATTGCTGACTTTCCCTGGTAAGCTTATGATTGTTATAGGGTTTTATTTATTATTATAAGTACTAACTTTCTGTGAAGGTCAAGGTCAACCTGTGGAAAAGACATTTGTTCAAGAATTGAGTCAAAAATATGATTTGGAATCCTACTTCAAGTCTTTGAAAAAGCAAATATCATCAAGTTTTGTTCAAAACGTTCAATCGCCATCTGATGATTTTTATTTATCAACTTCAAATACTCAACCTTCAATAGTTTCATTATCGTTATTAACGTTGGAAATCCTTAAGAAACATCATGGAATTGATTTAATCAAAGATTCCGATTATACGATGGGCCACTCTCTTGGTGAATATACTTCATTATGTATAAACAATGTCTTTCAACATAATCAAGATCAAATCCTGTGGTTAGTTCGTCAGCGTGGGGTATTGATGGAAGAAGCTCTAGCTCATTCAAAAAATCAATACGGCATGACTGCCCTAGTGTTCCCAGCTATGAATTATGAAGATGTGGAAGTGTTATTAACACATGCCTTGAAAGAAACAAGTTCAGTTGCCGTGGCTAATATAAATAGTACTCAACAAATTGTTATATCAGGTATCAAATCTGAATTAGAACAAGTTGTAAACTTTGTGAAAGAACGTTCAAATATCAAAAGAAGATTAAGGGTATTCCCATTATCTGTTACTACACCATTCCATAATCCATTATTACAAAGTTCAAAAGATAAATTCCGGGGTATAATTAATGAAAAATTTAATATAGATCGGGAATCTCGTTTACAATTACCTATAATTTCGAACTTTGATGGCCAAGTTAGTTATACCCATGGTGAAGCCCTAGATAAATTCATTGATGATTTCATAAACCCTGTTCAATTCAAAGATTCAATTGAAAATGCAATTAAAGATTTAGGTGTGAACACTGTTTGGAACATTGGACCAAATGGTCATGTTAACCAGGGGAATATTGGTAAGACAGATATTGAAAAGAAGTTGGAAACAAATCAATCTATAAGTAATATAGAAGATTTCGAAACTTTTGTGGAGAACTACAACAAATGATAAATAATTAATGAATATATATTAAAACATAATGAAACTTTTGATGAAATAAAAATATAATTAATTATAGCAATACATATGGAATATAAATAAGTAGTAAAACAGTTCAAGGACTTATTGGTATGAAATTCCCCACGATACATGAAGGAATATTATATCTATCTCTTCGAATAGTGAAACTAAAACAACAAGTTTTTCTTCTTCTCCCGTCTCTAGTTCTTAAATTACAACTTGTCAAAACAGCTTTTTGACCTTTATCAAAAGCAATAGCACCATATTTTTCCCAAAAATTAACTGCAGATTCTTCACTCATCAATTCATATATGGCTAATTTCCCATCTCTTAAATCATCAGCATTAACTTCAACAAGACTTGCAAATTCTTTATTACCACGGTATATTTCTCCTGTACGTCTCCATAAACATGCTGGAATTGCCATTGATGTAAAAACACGATCATAATCCAGTAACATTCTTTCAAAATTTTCCTCCACAAGAATTAAATCAACATCTTTCAAAGTTCTTGCAATTGCTCTAAACGCTGGTCTGAAAATAGATAATGGCTTGAGAATTCTTTGCTTAGATGATTGATTCATATAATTATCCATATATCCTTGTAATCTTGCATATCCTTTGGCATAATTATAAGGCTGTAATAATCCAGCTTCCAATTTGGCATTGATAACTTGTTTCAATCTTTCTTCTGGTGAGATCTCAGTTGATGGATCTGCAGCGGTTAAAAAGAATTTATCTCTTGCAGAATCTGAAACTTGTTGATGATTTGATGCAGCTGAAGAATGCTGATATAATGCAATAGGATATTGTGATGATCCACCAGATCCTGTACCACTAACGATTTGATTTGAAGTTGGCCCTAAGATAGGGGTATTCAACATTGATAAGTTTGTTAATGAAAGATTAGTTAATGAATGTGATGCTGATAAATTATTTGGTGTGTTGTTGAATAATGAATTAGTCCCTAAATTATTATTGTTATTGCTTAAATTGAATTCGTTATTAGCACTTGCACCTGCTCCTATTAGATCAGGATCATCAAGCATTGATAGAAATTCATTTAATGAACTAAATTCAGAACCAGCATGTTCTGAAAAGAAGAATGGTTGTTGATTATAAGGATTTTGATTTAGTGGATCAATAGGTTTCTCATTAATTTTTCTTTGATTCCCTGGACCTGAGACGTAGACTTGTTGAGGTTGATGTTGTGGTACTGACTGTATTGAAGGTTGCTGCTGTGTTTGTGGTGTTTCAATTGGTTGAGCTGAAGGAATAGGTGTTTCTTGAATGTCAGATCCACCAACACTAGCACCGACACTAGCGTTAACGCTCCCACCAATAGACTGACTTGGGATTGGTGGCGTCGAGCTAGATTCTGTCTTGAGTTCAACACTTCCCTCTCTTTGATCCTGTACCTTCTTACGTTGACGTTGACTTACTGGTTCATCATGACATAGATGTCCAATATTTCTCTTTATACATCGGGAACAAGGACGATCTAGGGATAACAATATTAGTAACTGAAGTGACAATCTAGCAACATATCAATTAATACTCACTATCATCACAGATCATATGTGAACGACGACAATAAACACAAGCTAAACATCATCATTGTTAGTAATAACTCTATTTCTCATGTTTTAGTTGATGTGTATACCAGTAGATGGTATACCCAATTCTCTCCGGGATATTTCATAAGCATTACTCACCAATAACAACTTTCTTTCTTCTTTTCTTCTGTTTTGGTTGTTGAGGCTCTACATCCTCAACTTTCTGTTGTTTAAGGTTCTTCTCTATCTCCCCTGGTGTGTTGTCCTGATTCAATGACATTTTCTTTTATACTATAATCACGTCCGTTATTGTTTGATTGTTCTCTTCAAGTTTTAAATTTTGTTTATGTTTTTTGTCTTCCGTTTTATTTTCGATGAAAAATCTGGGGTGGTTGAGATCCGAGGTTTGGAAATTTGTATGTACAATCACGTGCTTCTGAGTCGGAATATGGTTAATATTTGCAATTTCGTTCAACTTCAATAAGATTGAATAGTTTGGATATATTGAATGATAAGATGTGTAATATTTTACTTTAAGGTCGATATTCTAGCTTCATTATAAGCCACTTACTGATTTGTGTCTAACAAATAAGATGTCGTTGAATCTGTTCTTTCAAAACCCGAATGGATGACATAATCTTCGAATCTTTGTTTAAAAATTTCAAGAAAATTGAAGCTTTTGATTGATTAAACGAATCACTATAAGTACCATTCAAAGATCCCAAGATCACTTCGCAACTTTATATCATAATATGTTTGGCGCCAGATCTCTAATACGGAACGGATTATTACCACGCTTGACTTTCAAACCAGTCATCAAACCATCAAATATATCAAGAATTCGCTTTTTCCATAATTCAAATCAAATTAAAAATCAACAAAAGATACCGAATTCCAAAACTACTTCAGATCCATCACCATTAGATCACCTCACCCGTGAAGAAATCGCACAGCTTCGTGAACTACATCGTGCCAAAGATAAAGCATATAAAGATGCCACAGCTATAAATTATTCTCTTGCGTTAGGTATAGCATTTTTAGGTCTTTCATATGCCGCTGTTGTTTTGTATAGAACTTTATGTGCAAGAACAGGGTTTGGTGGTCGTCCAGTTACAGATAAATCAAAAGTTACAAGTGATAGATTAATTCCAGTTGATATGGAGAAACGAATCAGAGTTAGTTTTACATCAGAAGTTTCAGATATTTTACCTTGGAAATTTGTTCCTCAACAACGTGAAGTTAATGTTCTTCCAGGTGAAACTGCTTTAGCTTTTTATAAAGCAAGAAATACAGGTGATCATGATATTGTTGGTATGGCAACATATAGTATTACTCCAGGTGAGGCATCGCCATATTTTAATAAAATTCAATGTTTTTGCTTTGAAGAACAAAGATTAGCAGCGGGTGAAGAAGTTGATATGCCAGTTTTCTTTTTCATTGATCCAGATTTTGCAAATGATCCAAGAATGAGAAATATTGATGATTTAATTTTACATTATGCATTCTTCAAAGCTCATTATCAACATGATGGACAAATTGTTCCTGTTGATGCTTCAAAAGATATTGAATTAACCCCTATTAGTGTTCAAAAATTATAAAGATAAACTACATAAGGAAAACTACTTGTAAATATAATGCATGCATATAGTATAAAAATCCACTTTTAATGAAGGAAAACTATTTCAAAGCTAAATTGATGTAGTTTTTGTACATTCTTCTAATGTTATAGTTGGAGATCTTGGAGATCTTTCTCTTGATGATGGGTCTAGTGAGCCTTGAATATTTATTTGATTAGTATCTAATGTTAAATCTGGTTTGAACAACGTTCTTGGTGCTTGATTCTCTTGTAGTTTTACAACACCGGTACTCATTGGTTTTGGTTCTTCATAAAGTAATGATTGTTGTTGTTCAAGATTTGATGGTGCATGAAGTTGTGAGTCAAATGATTTATGTCTTCTTAAAAGAGATTCACTTAAATGGATTTTATTACTTGGTAATGAAGTTTTCAAATGTGTATATATCTCTTGTGTGTATTCTTCTTTTGTAAATATGATAACTAATCTACTTAAAGTAGGTAATTCTGACCAATTTTCCACTAGTTCATTCTCTGATATGTTGTGTTGTTTTTGAAATGTTATCAAGTATTGCTTTATAGTGACTGACACTTTTAAAAGATCTGGTTTTGTCAAATCTGAGATGATGATTGTAGTTTTAGCCATTGTGCTTGTATTTTGAATTCTGATTGATTACAAGTTAAGCTACTAACTTTAAAATTTCTAGAGGGCCATCTATTCCATTATATACGGTATCTAATTAATTGTGATTGCATTGCCCGAGATTATGTAATTGTGTCACGAGGAAAACCAATTACGCGCAGCATATTTCTCGAAACTTCATCAAGTCATCGCCATACATACGGAACAAAGTACACCAGAAATAGACTACATCCAGGTTAATAATTATTAATCAGTGGCTAAGATGGTGAAGTAATTGTTGTTGCAACTATAAAATACCACGATTCACGAAGTCTTGAGGCCATGCTTTGAATCGAGCTGGTGATGGGAAGAGTGCCGGTACATTGAAATCCTTTAATGGGCTTAGCTCTTAGCTCTTAGCTCAAGGGCTGCTTGGTAAATGATAACCTTTAATGGCAATCAAAAGCTAAAATCACCAAGACAAATAACTTGAAATACAATTTCATTATGAGATATGAAGTTAAGCCATGTTCGAGGGCTCTGTAATTTCTTATAAAGCATCAGTAAAGTTCAGCCTGGTCTAATGTCTAATGTATGTAGTACGTACATGATAGATAGGCATATAAATGCGAAACTACGAATATACTTGAAGGGAAATTGGCTAGTGTAAATTAAAATTCACTGGTCTTAATTAGTTTTAAGCAGCATTTTCAAGTGATAGATCAACGTACTGAATCCCGATATCATTAAATTTACCAAGATATTATAGTCGGGGCTTGACTGCGGCTTACTTGTTTCTTGGATCGCACTTATTTATCTTGGTTAACAACTACTTGAAGGCACTGAACATGGTCAATAATTATTAATTACATTAGCTTCACTAAATACAAAATTTTAAATATTTCTATTTTTCATAGTGCAAAACATCTTTCAACAGAATCTGCATTATTCCCCCACCAGTTAGGCATGGTAACCTGCTTCCCAGCACTGAAGAATATAAAGATCAACAATATTGATAAATTAAACCCTGTATCAAATGCAGCAGCTAATAAATAATTATATCTTGCCCATAATTTATGTCTATATCTAAAGAAATAAAACATTGAAATAGTACCAACTATGATTTGTGATACATAACCTGTAGATAAATTACCATAAAATCCAGACATTGCCGAACTGAAGACTGTTATATTCCATAAATTGAATTTACCCTTTGGGAACGCTCTATGTAGCGCATAAATAACCACTGGTGCTAAAGCTCCAAATAAGAATCCATAAGGAATGATTTTATTATATGATAATGAAAATAATTTTGAAGGGCCCACGAGAACATATTGAACAGCCATAGTATTATAACTTTGAATACTTTGACCAGTCCATTGGTGTAAAGGATCTGTTAAAGTACCATCCAAATAATCTCTTTTAGTATCAATAGCCCATCTTAAAGCTAAATAGTTGAAAGGAACACCAAATAATTGACCAACAATCTGTGACCAGAAAACATGTCTAGGATTAATATGCATATAATGGCCAATTTTTTGATCTTGTAACATATATTGTGCACGATACCATGCATCCCCTGCAATAGCACCATATGAACTTGCACTAGCTGGATGTTTTCCTCCTGATCTACTTTGAATGATTAATCCAAACATTAATTCATTGAAAGAACCGATTGCTAATTGAAAATTAGAAATTGCATAAAGATAACCTAATGGAACAACAATAACTGCACCAAATCCTAAGGCAACAAGGTATGTATACCATGGAATGAACATATGACCAGTTGCAAAGATTGTAATTAAAACCACAAAAGTTATACCAAATAAAACAAGATACCACCATAATGGAACATCAGGATATGCTGATTGAATTTTGTTAAGTCTATCTGAATATGTTTCACTAATAGTTTTATAGTTGTTTTCTTTTCTTGAGGTTGTTTTCTGAGTGTATCTTTCTTTAAATTTGGACCATGCTTGCGAAACATCTTTTAATCCAAATAACAAAATCCATGAAATTGCAGAAATGTATGCAGCATAATCGAAAAACATACCCCAAGCTCTTTGAGCACCCATATGTAAAGGACCATAAACTTCATAAGCAGTTTGATTGAAAAAAATATCATGGCCTTCTCTAATCATTAATTCAGTAGTTGGATATGGATCACCTTCAGCAGTAAATAATTTATTAGACATTAAACCATGTTTAAAAGATGTTAAATTCCCCCATTTAGCAGCAGGTATCAAAATCCAAGCACCTAGAACAAATGCAACAAATTGAACAACTATAGTCCAATATGGTGACAACATAACACTTGATCCAATATTTGACCAATCTAATGAAATGTTTAAGAACCCCATACCACCAAGTCCACCACCTATAAAATTTGCAACTTCATTACGTGGTGCAACCCAACATAAAAATGCTAATGATGAAGTCATTGGGAAAATAAATTCAGGGAAAAATTGCCAAATAGTCATTGCAATAATTGCTCCAAAAAAGACTTTCATTTGTTTAGAACCAATTTTAATATTAGAATCCGCTCTTTTCATTGAATTGAATAAATTTGTTTGCATTAATGCCTGAGGCCAAATGAACTTTGGATCATAAAGTAAGAAATTTCTTGCAATGGCTGCAAATGAATAACCTGTGAAATTTATACACCACATGAAGAACAATGCAACTGCTGGATTTGTCTTATCACCATAATATAAATCTGCAACTGATATAGCTGTTGTACCTTGATTCCCCGTTGCACCACTAGCCGCTGTTAACGTAACTAATACATTTTCTTTTATTGACCAAGGACCTGGGTTTAAATTAAATTTGAAAAAATATAAGTTGACTTCATAATTTGGTAAGACTTTTGCTAACCATTTACCTAAATAATGTGAAGCAATTTGAACGAAAAACACTGAATAAGCTGCACTTGTTGTTCTATAAGAATTTATAGTATCTAAGAAAGCACCAGGTGGGATGAAAATCAATGATAATAACACATAACGGAAAGTAAACGTTGGAGTTGAAGGATCATCTTCAAATGTAACAGCTTCTCTAACGATTTTTGGTAATTCTGCTATATCATCTGGTAAATCTTCAATATTTGCTTCATTATCTGATGATAAAGCTTCTTGTAAATCAATAATATCAACATCATCTTGAAGTTTACTAGGACCTTCAAGGCCTATTTTGTCATTATCAGAACTCCCATTGTTATTGCTGATATCTGAAACGGATTCTTGATCTTTATTTCTTGAGAATCTATTTGAAATCCCCATTGTATAAGCTATTTGGGGATCGAAATCTAATTCATTAACGATACAGCGCCCTTATCTGATCTCACTTTAGTTCAAGTGCCAATCATGATTGTTTTATACTGGATCATCAATTAATTAAGCTCAACTTCAAATATACAAACTAATTAACCATATTGTTTGTTTAGCCGTTAACTTCAAATGTGTGGCTTTAAAAGGCCATCATGATATTCGATCCAATAAGTGGGTATTAGTTAGCAGGTCACCATAAATAAACCATCAGGCATCAGACTGTAACAGTCACTATACCTTGAGATGTATAAGTAATAAACTGATTGGTTAATATTAAATCATTTGCAACGTTTGTTTACCGATCATATAATGGATGCAATAATGACGAATTTTAAGCGGCGAGTTGTGTAATAGTAGTCTCAAAAAGATGGGATGATCAACATGTGAACAATGTAGCGATGTAACTATTGATAACCGTCATATTAGTGATCAGAAGGTTTGAGCTTGAAGATGGTCATGATCAGAAGTTGATAAGTATCAAATTGTCTTGAATTGTTAAATAATATTCAAGAAATCCAAGACTTCAAATGTGTCAAAGCTTGGTGTTGCAATAATACTTTCGCGTAGGATCTGAAAAGATCTCACAGCTCCACAACTTACAAGCAGTGACAGCTTCCAAATGTTCCGGCGTCAGTATGTTCATGAGAAATAAGTCAGCAAAATGATAATATAATTTGTCATCAACGGTGCGTAAATTTAATGCTTTTCAATCCATTTTCTATCAAATGATCATGAATCTATATAATTGTATAACAGCATAACAGCTCATGTTGAAGTAGAAGTTTCTTATATGCCTAAGGTTTGGGATTATTATATGGACTTCCTGGTCATGCATGAAGATTGAACTAGACAACTCATAAATAATGATCTCTTCTAATACTTTGTTCCTAATTTTGAGACTAACCTATTGATTTGTTGTTCAGATCTATAATAATTAATTAGTATTCCTTTCAATATTATGCTAATTTTTCGCCCTATATCATATCACCTGACTATCCCATAGCATCACACCCTTACACCAAAACTATTGCTTGAAAAGTTGGCTCCCAATTCGCGGAAATTCTCACCAATTTTTTTTTTTTTTCATCAATCATCACGAACATAGTGAAAAATTTAAAAAAGGTCAAGTTTCTTAACTATTGATACCCTTATTTTAAAGACTTCACCGTCAAAGACATATTATTCACAATGGCCTTCCAAAAAGCTGAAAAAACCTCTGCTTACCACTCACGTTTCCAAACCCCTTTCAGACGTAGAGCTGAAGGTAAAACTGATTACTACCAAAGAAAACGTTTAGTTGCTCAACACAAAGCTAAATACAACACTCCAAAATATAGATTAGTTGTTAGATTCACCAACAAAGATATCATCTGTCAAATCGTTTCATCCCAAATTGTTGGTGATTTCGTTTTAACTGCTGCTTATGCTCATGAATTACCAAGATACGGTATTAAACATGGTTTAACTAACTGGGCTGCTGCTTACGCTACTGGTTTATTAGTTGCCAGAAGAGCTTTACAAAAATTAGGTTTAGATGAAATCTACCCAGGTGTTGAAGAAGTTGAGGGTGAATACGCTTTAACCGAAGCTGTTGAAGATGGTCCACGTCCATTCAAAGTTTTCTTAGATGTTGGTTTACAAAGAACTACCACTGGTGCTCGTGTCTTCGGTGCTTTAAAAGGTGCTGCTGATGGTGGTTTATACATTCCTCACTCTGAAAACAGATTCCCAGGTTGGGATATCGAAGGTGAAGAATTAGATGCTGAAACCTTAAGAAAATACATCATGGGTGGTCATGTTGCTGAATACATGGAAGAATTAGCTGATGATGATGAAGAAAGATTCAGAGAATTATTCCAAGGTTACTTAGATGATGACATTGAAGCTGATGCCATTGAAGACATCTACATTGAAGCTCATGCTGCTATCAGAGCTGACCCATCTTTCAAACCAACTGAAAAGAAATTCACCAAAGAACAATACGCTGCTGAATCTAAAAAATACAAACAATATAAATTAACTAAAGCTGAACGTGACGCTAAAATTGCTGCTAAAATTGCTGCTTTCAAAGCTGAAAACTAAATTTAATTTTTAAGAATTTATATAGTTAATAATTAATGGATTAGTTCTTTAAATTATTGTCATAATTGTAGATTGTTAAAGTATTTAAAAATGTGCCATGGTGCCATAGTTTATTGGAATGTTCATCTCGGAGTAGAAATTGTTGCCCTATCTGAAAACACGGCAAATAAAAATAAAAATAGTATGGGAAATACTTTTATATACTCGTAAGATTCCACTTTTATAATAGATTGATATGAACAATTTGCAAAGGTCTATTGGTTCTTTTTCAAATAGTTTCAGATCATCCATTTTACCAAAGCTATATTCAACAATGACAATCCCTCAACGTTATCCTGCAAGACAACATGCCTTGAATGTTAAACATCATTTACAAACTAAATTATCAGATTTATCTAAAACTTCAATCTTTTTAAGTGGTTCATTACAAGAATCTGATAAATATAGTGATTCATCTAAACCTTTCAAACAAGAACGTTATTTCTTCTATCTTACTGGTGTTAATATTCCAGGTTCTCATGTTTTTTATGATTTAAATAAAGAAGAATTAGTTTTATTTTTACCAGAAATTGATCAAGATGATGTTATGTGGTCTGGATTACCTTTATCAATTGAAGATGCTTCCAAGAAATTTGATGTTGATAAAGTTGTTTATTCAAATGAAATTCCAAATTATTTATCAAAATATGATGTTAATTTAACAACTGATATTGATAAAAATAATCAAATTTATAAAAATCAATTAACTCCAGGTCAAACTGAATTATTTTATGCCTTGGATGAATCAAGAATTATTAAAGATTCATATGAAATTGAATTATTACGTAAAGCTGCTAAAATTACTGATAATTGTCATTATGCTGTGATGTCAGCTTTACCAATTGAAACTAATGAAACTCATATTCATGCTGAATTTATGTATCATGCAATTCGTCAAGGTTCTAAACATACAGCTTATGATCCAATTTGTTGTTCAGGTCCAAGTTGTGGTACTTTACATTATGTTAAAAATGATGATGATTTAGGTACAAAACAAAGTATTTTAATTGATGCAGGTGCAGAATGGGAAAATTATGCAGCTGATGTTACAAGATCTTTCCCAATAAATGGTGAATGGTCTAAAGAACATCGTGAAATTTATGATTCAGTTAAAGAAATGCAAGATAAAACTTTAGAATTAATTAAACCAGGTCAATCATGGGATGAATTACATTTATTAGCTCATAAAGTTTTAATTGAAAGATTTTTAAAATTAGGTATATTCCATAATGGTACAAAGGAAGAGATCTATGAAAGTGGAGCATCAACAATTTTTTTCCCTCATGGACTTGGACATTTATTAGGTATGGATACACATGATGTTGGTGGACATCCAAATTATGAAGATCCAGATGAAAAATTACAATATTTAAGATTAAGAAGAACATTACAAAAAGGTTATGTTGTAACAGATGAACCAGGTATTTATTTTTCACCATTCTTGGTTGAAAATGGATTTAAAGATGTGAATAAACGTAAATATGTTAATGAAGAAATTATGAAGAAATATTATCCAATTGGTGGTGTTAGAATTGAAGATGATATTTTAGTTACAGAAGATGGTTATGAAAATTTAACTGGTATAACTTCAGATGCTGATGAAATTTCCAAGATTGTTAAAGCTGGTATTGCTAAAGGTCGTTCATATTTCCATAATGTTGTATAAATAATGATTCAGTATATATGATTTAATTGAATTTATCGGACCTCGGTTTCCTATTTGAGAATCAACTCCGAAAATTCCATTTGACGGGTAATTTCCTCGCGAATCTGCCATTTTTTGACTCTGTTTGACACGGGTTTACCACTCTTTCGCGCTCTTTCGCGCTCTTTCTTCTCAATTCCGGTAAACGGTCATTTTTATTTTTCGAAAAGTTCCATTTTTAAAAATATAAAAGAGTTTGAAATTGCTTACAATTGTTATCAGATCTAATTGTTTTATAACGGCAAATAATAATAAAATTAGTCATTTTTATAAATCATAATTAATTATTTCAAAAAACAAAATGTTTAGACAATTACAATCAAGTGTTTTAAGAACTACATTCAGACCAATCGTCAATCAAACAAGAGCTTATCATCCAAAAGTTATTGATCATTATCAAAATCCACGTAATGTTGGATCATTAGATAAAAAATCTATAAATGTTGGTACAGGTTTAGTTGGTGCACCAGCATGTGGTGATGTTATGAGATTACAAATTGAAGTTGATGATGCTACTGGTGTCATTAATGATGTTAAATTTAAAACTTTTGGTTGTGGTTCAGCAATTGCAAGTTCATCATTTGTTACTGAATTATTAAGAGGTAAAACTTTAGAAGAAGCTGCTGCTATTAAAAATAAAGAAATTGCTCAAGAATTAAGTTTACCACCTGTTAAATTACATTGTTCTATGTTGGCTGAAGATGCTGTTAAAGCTGCTATTAAAGATTATAAAACTAAACAATTCCGTCCATCCACTTAAAGAAATTTCTTCCCCCTCCGGAGTTCATTTCAATATCATTAACATAGTTTTATAATCACATCTTAAACATAGGCATTTTATTTTTGGTTTTTCTTAACATTTTATTTCATCATGGGGTTTTGTTTTTTATTCTTTTATTTCTTTAACTTTTACAAATTTGGAGTTTTAACTTTCAATATTCAAAAAAAAAAAAATATTACAAAATACAAAAAAAAAAGAACAAGTTGTATCATATGGTTGTTTTTTCTTTACAATCCAATAACCTGAATCAAAGAAGAAAATAAATGAAAAAAAAGGTGTTTAAATGACTACAGTTCATTTAACATTTTTAGTTATTTTTTTGAGGGGTTTTGGATTTGTATGTATGAAGTTTTACTGATTTAGTTTATTAATGGAATACGAAATTATATAACGAATGGAATTCGTTTCTGTATTTATTAAATTTATGTTATTGTAGTTTATCCCTTCATCTTGTTGTATGATGTCTGATATTCTATGATTTGTAATTAAAAAGGGAAGAATTTTTGATTGGCTGGATCTAGAATTGTGGGTGTAATCGGGGTTTTAATAATTAACAACCAGTTGAGTCATGAATCTAGTACTACAAACTAAGAAAACAATCATCATGGTCTATAGTATGAATGAATCATTTATTTCGTATTATAATTCAAGGTCATTACAAACTTTTGATACTTCTTCAAAATAATTGTATTTCTAGTTCCTTTGTCTTTATAATATAAAATTTATCGCATCCGATCTATTTCTCAAATCCCGGGGTCTCGCTTATGTTAGAAATGGGTAATCAATATAATCAATGCAAAATTATATTTTAGTTTCTTATCATCAGCTTTAACAAAATATGATATAAAGTGAATTAATTGAAATTGATCTTAACTGATATTTATTTGGACTTTCATTGCCTAGAGTACTTAATCCAAATATAGAATCGATTATATTAATTCATGTATTAATTATAATATGATTGGTATCTTTATTTTGTAAGTACAACTATATAAAATTATTCACTCAGCGGCTAATTTATAGATGATTCAATTAATTCGAGTTTGTGGCAATTTTTATATTTTAGATGATTGAATTGCCATCAAAAATTATATATATAGCTTGTTTTCCGGCTACAAATAATTATGAAAACATTATAATTTATCGACATTGATCAATTATTTCTTTGAATCTATATAATGGTTGAGAAATAAATATGCGTGCTAATATGTCACTAATTTTTTTTTTGTTGGTTCATTTATTCCTGTGTTATTTCTATACATGTTATAAAATCAACTATAGTTAGATCCTTTTGAAGTTTGTTATAATTAATAAAGAACTTTAAATTGTTTTTATATCAATATACATTCAAACAATTAAGATTCAAATCTTTGATATTAACTAGCTATATACTTATTGTTAGTATATATCAGATTAATATTCTTAGTTGTTTTATTTCTTTAATTTATTTTCATGATTTTTTGTAGTTTATACATTATAGTAATAGAAGTTTGTTTTTGTGTATATGGCTTTTGTACATTTACCGCCCTGAAACTGATCAGCTATAAAATTAGATTCAAATATCCATATTTTTGATCAACTTTTTAAATACACATTTATATAAGTACATTTGTTTCAATTACCTAAGATTTTGATTTCTCTTTGAAACTAGTTTTTCTCTCCCAGTTATAATCTGACTTACTAGTTACATCATACTGTGAGTCTGTGAGTTAGATTAAAGCTGATTCTTTCATATGTTATATCTTGTATATTGAGAAAATCATTGATACTTCAGTTGATAAAGAAATCTAAGATATATATGATTGAGTTAATAAGCTCATATAATATACATAGCGCTTAAGGAATTGATTGATTAAATGTTTATAATAACTTTACATCGTTTTAAAAGTGTGATTTTATATTTCAATTGCAAAAGAAACATGTAGTGATTTTAGTAACGATTATAATTGATATTCCATATAAAGAGATGGAACTAACTACAATAATTCAAAATGTTAAATGAATCTGAAATAAAGATATGTTTATTTAAATCCATGCGTTGATAAAATTTTATGAGTACAACCTTATACTGAAACATAAAATACCAAAAGTAATATGTTGATCTAGTATTCATACAGTATAAATCTTATGTATATACAATACACAATACACTCAAAGCCTCAAATTATGACAAGAAGTATAGCAGAAGGTAGAAACATTATAAAGTTCTTAAGTTCTTAAATCAGTTATAAATTATCTATTGATTCAATAATATAATGAATCCATTTTACTAATGATTTAATCAGGTAGGTTTTCAATTCTATTTTGTAAATTAGAATTTTTATATAATATCAGTATATCTTTATCACATAGAAATGTCTTGTAATTATATAGTTTAAACATTCATTTGATAATTGGTAATAAAAGAAATTGGAGAGGTTTCTTGATATATTGATTTGAAAGTATAAATTAAAGTCAGCACAGCTCAGAGAACTGAATGAATGAAGCTTATTGAATATGCATTTGACTTTGCAGGTTAATTGAATAATATATAGTTGAAATTGAATCTTTCAAGTGAACATTAATCTAGTATATGTACTACTTGCACACTTGCACCCAAATTGACGTACATGCTATATAATTTAAAATTCGCGGGTATCAAATTTGAATATATTTACTTTTTTAATTAAAATAGCTTTAAAAGAGGTTTATCAATTTGGAAAATTGATATTAGTATTTTAACTTGACAAATATTTTACATATCTAATAAAATCAATAGATTTTTTTTGAATTTTTTAAAATTCCATATTTTTATTGACTTTCAAAATTTTATTTTAACTTTCAACTTGCACTAAATTAAAAATTATGAAATTTCAAAAGTTCGAATTTAGTGATTTTAAAAGACGATATAAATACAATGGCATTTCTAAATAATATAAATGTATTAAAAACAATATATTTACTAACAAATTTCTATATTTAAATAAATTAATATATTTGAGACCGGATTTGATTTTTAAGTCACGTGAATATGCTCGGAATTTTATTTATATTAGGAAATTATCTTGATAAGCAATTATCAATTAGTATAATATGGTAATTTGTAATAGACAATACAATAATCATCATAATACATTATAAGTTATATTTAAACGTTCATTTCATTATTACTAGTAGTAGCTTATGGATAACCCCAGATTCAGCGTTTAGGGGGCAATTTATTTTTGTATTAGTGTAATTTTGATATGAATAAAGATTTACACCAATGATCAATATGAACAATTGAGCATGTGTGGGATGTGGGATGGAATGATGGAATTACGGAAGTACTCTTGGCTTATTGTGAAGAAAGGCTGATCATTTATACACTTGACTTTGAAATAACCATAGTCTTATGTTTAATATTATTTGATAATTGTTTATTGATTGTTTAGTATCGTAGTTCAAAATATTGATATCAGTAGTATTTTATGAACTTCTTGTTTAATGGCCAATAATTTCCTTTTTAAAAAAAAAAGTTGTTCCGTACTAATTTAATAGTGGGGAAATATGAAGTCATTGTGCAGTTTAGGCAGAGAATTGACCAGATACACGCTAGACAGAGAGTTCTAGGCAGAGTTCTAGGCAGATAGTTCTAGGTGGACAATTAGGCTGGTTATAAATGCTGGTTGTTAACTCCAACGACAATAGAGCTAGAGTCTAGACAATAGAAGAGTAAGAGTAATTAAGGTAACGGAATAAGTACTATTTAACAAGTAGATTAGTGTTATCCACTAGAAAGAGGACTTGAGGGAAGTTAGAGTGTAGACAGTAGATAGAAGTAGTTGAACACTAGGCAGAGACAGCTAGGCAGAGATAGACAGAACAATTAATTAATAAGGATTTTAGGCAGAAACGGATTTAATTTTAATCAACAGAAATTCAATTTTCAAACATTTTTGCAACCGATTTCAAAAAACAAAATTTAATAATTTTAAAAAAGCATCAAAAAAGCACACAACAAATTTTAAAATAAACAAAAAACTAAACTAAATATTCTTTTCAAATTCATTTTCAATCAATCAAATTAGCTTCATCATTCTCAGCTTATTATTATATTCATAGTTCAAAATATTCAACAAACAATTATTCCATCCGTTTATTAGCTAGCCGCCCGGATAATTAGGTATCAAAAGCTAATCAATTCCATATCGCTAAAAGCAAAGAAAAACATAAAATCCATTATCAATCAAAACAATAATCAAAACAAAACAATAATCATACACATTTTTACTAAATGACTTCAATACATGAAGATGCTTCAAGTTTGAATGTCGATTGGTTCTATAGAGGAAAGAAAAAGTCCACTAAAAAATCAAATGGTAATGGTATATCAAATAATGGTCAAAATGGTCAAAATGGTTCTTCTATAAAGGATAAAATATCTTTAAATACAGCTGTTAATGGTTCAAATGGCTCATTAATACCAAGTCCAACTATTTCAAATGATTCTGCTATCCAAAAACCAACTTCATCTTCATCTACAAATTCAAATTCAAATTCAAATTCAACTCCACATATTGGTAATCAAGGTGATGTTAATAATACAATCAATCATCATGAACATCATAGATCAATATTATCAAATGAAATCAAAAATAGACCAAGATCTGCTTCCGATTCATCTAAATTAAAACCACCGTCAAGTTCAAGCTCAAATTTATCAAATGGTGCTCCATTATCTTCATCTTCTAGTAAAAGATCAATATCTTCAAGTTTAAAAAGATCAAACTCATTAAATGAACATAATCATCATCAACAAACAACTCCACAAACACAACCTCAAGCACCTACAAAACCTAAAAAATCAATATTTAGTGCATTTTCAAAATTAAAGAGTTCAAAATCAAATGTTCAATCTCAACCTCAATCAACTCCTGTACAAGTTCAACAAATTTCAAGACCAAAATCTCCAGAACCAATTTCAATCCCATCAACTCCAAAATCAATGCCAACAACTCCAAAATCTTTACCTTCATCAATTGATTCAATATCACCAAATTCTGCATTTTTGTTAAATTCAATACATAGATCTCCTAAACAATCACAACAACAACAACAACAACAATCACAAAATCAAGAACGTATAATATTAAATAAAAATCCAAATAGATCTTCATTACCCATATCAAATTTATCAAATATAAAACTTCGTCGTGTTACATTTGCCTTGGATAAATTACCTGATGATCCACCACAACAAATTCCATCAAGAAGACCTAAAAGAGGTAATGTTATAGTTGTTGAAGATCTTATCGCTGGCCCATCAAAACTAAATGTTGGTATTACAAATGAATCTCAAACTTTAGAACATGGTAAAAAATATGATGAAAAAGAATTAAAATTAGTTATGGAATCTCAAAGAAGAGCTTTAGAAGAATCTGATAAACATGCTCAAGAAGCTCATTTTGCTGCAAAGAGAATTGCTCATGAAGTTAAAAATTTTAAACTTTTGAAAAAAAATGAAAAAGCTACAATTGAAGATGAAATTGAAGAAGAAATTGAAACTGATGCTAATAATGTGGAAATTGATAAACCTATTCATTTACATGAACATCATTATGAAGAAGACCCCAAAGATCATCAATTAACAAATATCCCATTAGAATTAATTTATACTCGTTGTTGTCATTTAAGAGAAATTTTACCAATTCCTGCTACTTTAAAACAATTAAAAAATAAACATTCTCCATTATCAGTTTTAAAAATGCTTAACCCTAAACCAACTTTAATTGATGTTTATTCATTTAGTGATTTTATTGCAATTGTTCCTATAAAGACACTTATATTAGATAATGTTACAATGAATTCAGAAATGTTAAAAATCTTATTATCATCATTAATTAATTCAACAACAATTGAAAAAATTTCATTAAAAAATGTTCCATTAGATATAATTGCTTGGAAATTTCTTTGTAAATTTTTATCAAGAAATAAATCATTATTAAAATTAGATATATCACAAATGAAAATTAAATCTGAATTACCAATAAGTCAACATAGATCTCAAATGGATTGGTCATTATTTATTGATACTTTATATTATAGAGGTGGATTACAAGAATTAATTTTAAATGGTTGTAAAATCCCTCATTTAGAATTTATGCAATTAATTGACCAGGGAATTTCATTACAAACTAAAAGATTAGGTCTTGTTTCAATGGAATTAAATTATGAACAAATTAAAAAAATTTCTAATTTAATTACTGATCCAAATTCCAAAATTGAAGGTATTGATTTAGGTTTTAATGATTTATCAATTGATGGTAAATTAAAACCATTAATTAAAAAATTAGCAAATTGTGAAAATTCAAATTTAGAATCTTTATCTTTTAATTCAACAATGTTGGATAATGTTGAAGATGTTGCATTATTAATTAGATCTGTTTCAAAATTACCAAATTTAAGATTTTTAGATTTAAGTAATTTAAAAAATATTTTCCCTGGAATTATGCCATATTTAAATAAATATTTACCAAGATTCCCTGCATTACAAAGATTACATTTAGATTCAAATGAATTAAGTTCACAAAGTTTTGGTATCTTAAGTGGGATTATTCCAAAATGTTCACATTTAATTCATTTAAGTATTATGAATCAATCTTCAATTAGTTATGCAGCAGCTGCAACTATTTATAGTGCAATTAAATCATCCAAGACTATAGTTAATTTAGATGTTGATTTTGATTTGATTGATGATAAAATTAGCTCAAGAATTGCAGTTTGTTTAATGAGAAATATGCAAAGAACTATGCATGGTGATGATGATCATCATTTAGATTCTCATGATGATATTTTATTTGATGGTTCATTAATTGCAGAAACTGCAAGTAAATTATTAGAAAAATTTCAAACAAATGAAATTGAAAATGATGAATTTAGTAAAAAATTCTTAAAGAAGAAATTTTTAAATAAAATTAATGAAAGTAGATTAAATATTAATAAAACTATTGATGAATTATTAACAAAACAAGAACAAAAATTATTATCATTACAAGAAAAAGAAGATTTATTAAGATTTTATTTCTTGGATAATTCATTATTAAAAATTTTAGAAATTTTCCAAAATTTAAATGATGATGGTTCAACAACAACTTCACAACCAACATCAAGTATATCAAATTCAGCAAATATTTCAACAAACCAAGGTTCTAATAATTTGATCAACTCAGCAATAGTCACAGGTCAAGATGTTCAACCTCATCAAATGGTTACAGAATTAAATGAAGGTAAAGAAACTCCAATTGATGTTGCCACAGGTAAACCAATTTTATTAAGATCTGTATCACAAACTTCAATTCAAGCTAAAAAGCAAGAAGAAGAAGAAGGTGAATTTCATAGATGGGGTTTTTTTGTTCAACAACAAAGACAATTATATCCAAATGATCAACCTATTCAAAGTTCAAATTTATTAAGACCTGAACCACAACATGTTAAACCTCAATTACAATCACAACCTGAAGATCAACCTCAAACTCAACCTCAAACTCAACCCCAGAGTCAAACCGAAGGTCAACCAGAAAGTCATCCTCAAGGTCAACCTCAAGGTCAACAATGTACTGTTAATAAACAAGATTTATCATCATGGGCAAAATTACCATCAGGTGAAGAATTAAGAGATGCAGTTATAAAAGCAAAAGGTATAAATTCCATTACTGATTTAATTGATAATGTTAATGATCATAGATTTAATTTAGAAAAAATTTATCCAACTATAAAAGAATCATTAAAAGAATCAAAAGATTTGAATTCAATAAATAATTCAAGTAATGTTACTTCAGGTTATTCAAGTTCTATTGGTGGTACTATTGATAGTGATTTAGAAAGTCAAGATGGAATTCAAAGTGTTGAAGTTGATGAAGTTTATGATAAATTGTTGAATAGTTTACAAAGAGTTAGGTCAAATAAGTGATCTTTTCCACCTGTTATATATATATATATTTAATTTTAATGATTGTTACGAATTTATATTAATGATTGTAGATAATTAAAATTCAACTACATTGATGATTTAAATTCATTAAACTTTTTCATTAAGTATTAAATAATTGTTATAAAACAAATTGTCAATAAGTGACATGCAGGTAAATCATTCCAGATCATTAAAATGCAAAAAACAATTCAAGCCCATATAAACAGAGCCTAAACTTATAAGTATATATAAAAAAATAGAGTTAAAATCAATGCAAAAAAACCAAACAACAAATAAGAAAGATAAATATTCTTTCAACACCAGAATCTATAAGTTCTATACCAAAATGGTCTTGATTTAATATATTCTTTTTCTTCATCTAATTCTTGTCTTAATAAATCAGTATCAACATCTTTTCTACCAGAATCTAAATTTATTTGATTTAATGGAGTAAATTCCCAAAATTTTCTTGTCCATAATTTTCTACCAAAATACAATGCAAAAAACACTGGGAATCCAATATAATTTTCGAAAAAAGCTCTTGCATTTGGTTGACCACCAATTGGGAATAATGAAATCCAAAATTGTGCAATCAAGACTAAAATCATCAAGACAATTGCATAAACTGAACCCCAAAATCCAGCATGTGAAGTGAATGCTAAATCTCTTAATGAACGACCTTGAGCTTTCATAGCTAATCTAAAACGAACATGACAAATTGAAATTGTTAACCAAGTGAAAATAATACATAACCCACAAATAGCTAATAACCAAGTGAAAACTTCATTTTGAATTTTTCTATTTGCCACAATAAAACATAATAAACCAGAAATACCATTTAATGCAATACCAAAGATTGGACGACCCATACGATCAATATATCCAAAAATACTTGGTGCTAAACCTTGAGCAGCTAATGAAGTTAAAGTTCTTGAACAACCATAAACAGCTGAATTACCCACAGAAAGAACAGAAATTAAGATAACAACATTCATAACTGATGGTAAACCTTTAATACCACCATTTTTGATAGCAATAACAAATGGAGAAGCTGAAGCATCTGCAGATGAACTACTTAATAATCTTTTATCAGTTGCCTTAACTAATAAAGAGACTAGAGTTAACCCACCTAAGTAAAATAACATTAATCTCCAGAAAACTTGTTTAATAGCACTTGGTAAAGATTTTCTTGGATTTTTAGTTTCAGCAGCTGTAACACCAATTAATTCAGAACCACCAAGGGCATATGAAGCAACAACCAAGACGGAACAAAACCCTTTAAATCCATGAGTGAATGCACCTGGATCATGATAATATTTACCACCAACAAATCCACCTGAAGGTCCACCACCACAAACTAATACAATACCAAGGATTAAAAATCCAATAATTGCCACAACTTTAATTAATGAAAATATAAATTCAGCTTCACCATAACCTTTTACACCAAATAAATTAATTGTCATAATTAAAACATAAAATATAACAACCCATGCCACAGGATTAATTGATTCATTCCAAAATTGAATTGTTAAAGAAGCAGCAATAACTTCTAAAGGAAGAACAACTAACCATAAGAAAACATAATTCCAACCCATAGCAAAACCCCATGAAGGATCAATAAATTTTGTAGCATAAGCAGAAAAAGCACCAGGAGTTGGATAAGTAACAGCTAATTCACCTAAAGCATGAATAACAGCGAAAAGGAAAGTACCAACAATTGACCAAGCAATTGGTAAAGAAGCAGCACCACCAGTTCTTAAAGCAGAACCTGAACCAACGAAAAGACCAGTCCCCACTGAAGAACCAATTGAAATCATTTGTAAATGTCTTTGTTTTAAAGATCTTTGTAATGGAGTATGAGCTAATCTAACTTCAATTTTTTCAGCTTCAGTCATATCTGGTGTAAGTAAAGATTCATCAAATTCTAATCTTTTAAAAGAATTTATAAAACTTGAACCAATTGATTGTTTTGGAGTAGTATCTGATTGATTTGATTGATATGGTGTATCACTTGATGATACCACATCATCTTTTATAATGTCTTTTGAAGAAGACATCTTGTGTATAAATCTTATAAGTATATGATTATGGGTATTAAAGGTAGATTCAATAATGTGGATATGAAAAAATATATAAATGAATGAAAAATTTGAGTTTTAAACCAAATGCAAGATCTTGTCCCGTTAAAGGTTAAGGGTTTATTACTCACCCACTTTGAATCACCAGTTCATCGGTTCTTTACTACGATGAGTCTTTTTTGGTGTCACTTTGTTTCTTTTGGTAAAATTTTTTTGTGTGAGATAAAAAGAAAAGAGCCGTGTATGGCACCATGAACGGCTCACTTTTGAAAATAAAGATACACTTGGACAAGAGGAATGTTGTGTAATTGTTTGTAGAAAGACTGCTTAACTGTTTGTGAGTGTTAAGGGTTATGTTTTGGAGTTTATAGTGCTGTTTTTGACGTTTGTGTCAAATGTTTTAGATTGTTCAGATTGTTACTAGATTGTTTGTTAACCGTTGATGAAGTTTTGTATGGATCTCGGTATTCAAAGGAAGGGAAAAGCTGACCGATGGTTACCGATGTGTGCCGGGTGGTGGGCAGAGCGTAGGCAGAGAGTAGGCAAAGAGTAGGCGGAGGCTTGTTAAAATCTAGGCGGATAGGTGGCAGCTAGGCAGATACACACACAGACGGCACGGATAAGAACCGGGCAGTGGCCAATGAGAAACTGACTTACTGTCCATTAATTTGTTAGGCAGAGCGGGCAGAGCGGGCTCTGGGCAGCGGACAACGGGCAGGATCTTACAGACGAAGAGGAAAAAAAATTGACCGGTGACGGTTTAATCTGGGGTATAAAGAAAGTACTTTTATATTGTTAAAAACGTTTTTATTTAAGTGACGAAGCAGATCATGAGGACCCTGGGGGAAGATCATGGGGAGATATCACAATGGTAACTGTTCAAGATATGCTAGTTTCTCTTTGTATGTCTCTGTTGGTGCTTCATCTCCATCTTCATATAACCAATCTTCTAATTGATCCAATATAGAACCATATTGAGATTGTAATTCATCATTAGTTAATTTTCTTCTTGTTCTATATATTGTAGATTCTAATTGATTTTTAGTTTCTTTATTTAATTTATCAGCCAGATCAATTTTTTGAAGTTTTGCTTCTTGTTTAATAAAATGATGAATATGTGATTTACTAATCAATGGAACTATCTGAGATTTCAATTGATTAACTGATTGAAATTGATCTTTACCACCAAATACACTTGTGAATTTTGATGATGTTGTTTGTTCAACTTGATCTGCTTGAATTAATTCTAATTCACCTTGTAAATTTAATAAAAATTGTACTTGAACAAATGTTGGACCTGATTTATCAAATCCTGTTAATCTCCATTGTCCAAGTATGATATGTTTATCTCTTGCTTCAATAGTAAAATCATTATCAATATTAAATTCCAAAGTTTGTTGTTGAGGAATTTTTTTATTTTTAGGAAATACATTTTCAAATTTTTCTTTATGAATGAAAAAATCAATCTTGTGTAAATTTAAATCTTGAATCTTATAATGTGATTGTTGTAAATTCTTGGTAAAAACTGCTGATAAATATGCATCACCTAAACTTATAGCTTCATCTTGATTTAAAGTTAATCCTAATTCAGTTTTAAAACCTTTGGAAATTATGTCTTTAATAGATGGAATCCTGGAAGTACCACCAATCAATTCAACTGATTGGAATTGATCCTTCTTGTGTAAAAATTTAGAGACATCATGTTGAACACGAACAAGTATTTCATTAATCCATTCTTCAAATTCTTCTCTTTTAATACTTGTATTAATATCTTTATCCTCTGTAACGTTTTCAATATTAACGGAAACAAATTGATTAGCACTTAAGATTTTTTTAAATTTTTCACATTCTTTTAAAACTCGTTGATACGGTTTTGAATGAATTTCAAAATTTAAACCAACTTTTTGTAATAAATTATCACAAAGTAATTTATCAATAATTCTACCACCAATGTTATTATCAACTAAACTTCTCTCCACAATGATGGTTCTTTCTGATATTCTCAATAAACTTATACTTAATTGAGAATAACCAACATCAACAATGATTCTTTTCTGTTCATCAGTTCCAGATTCATGATTTTTAGTGGCAAATGTCATACCAGCAGCAACGGATTCACTTATAACATCCAAATCTTTCAAACCTGCGATATAACCAGCTATATGAACTAATTCACGTTCTCTACTAGTATAATTCCCTGGGACACTAATGATACATTTCCCAATCTTGATACCATTTTCTTCAATTTGTGTTTTCAAACTTCCTAAAAACATTGAATATAATTGAACAGGTCCATAAAATTCATTATCCAATTGGAAACCTAATTCATGATTATGCTTTATCAACTGAGCACTTATGAAATCCAATTCACCCAATGAATTAAATTTAATTAAATGTTTAAATTGTGATATTGTAGTTTTAAAATTTTGTATAGCTTGATTTTTAGAATCTTCACCAAATAATCTTATCCCTTGTTGAGTGAATGTTAAGGAACTTGGTGTGGAACGATTTGAATAACTGTTTAACAAGACATCAACACCTCCATTTTGAACAACCTAAGATCCCCTAATTGTTAATATTCATTCATTCATAATATTCAGATCTCACACCACGTTTAAAGAAAAATATGGGGTTATATAATATGAAGAATTACTTACAGAGATGACTGTTTTATAAGAACCGATATCAATACCAATTGGACTTAGTGACATATTTGGGATTCTATAGTCTATAATAATAATTAGCTAGTAATTTAATTGGTTTTGTTGATTGAATGAATTGGAAATGGTTTGGTTCTTTTTGACATTTTAATTTAAACGAAATTCCCGATTCTTTTAATTTTCTTATATGGGAATTGTTGTCATGGTGATAATTTTTACTCAATTTAATTGAAATTTATAAAGAATCAAAATTCTATGCTCTATGCTTTAGAATCTATGAGTATTTGAGCTTACAATTCATTAATTGATTACACATTAGTAGATTATGGTATACTGATTATGTCATGTTTCTGTGGATATTTCTGTTTTGGTAACGGATTTGGTTGTTTCATTGTTCATTTTGATCAGGATCCACAGTTTATTAAAAGATACTTGATGGTCCTGTGAATTGATATTGAAGGTATTGCAATTGTCCTTTGGAAAACTAGGCTTGCACAAATGAACTTATACCAGATACATAATAGTCTGATGAAATATACAACAGTAATACATTATAATACCTCTTCATATCTTTAGTCTAAAGAATTTTTAAATTTATGGCTAAATATACATATTAAGATATAAGGGAGCCATAGTTTATGATTCAGTGATGAGATCCATAATTATTCATAACTACTAAATAATATTGATGCTTTAGTTTGGCTTACCAAATATTCAAAGATATAAAAATAAGATAAAACAACGAAAAATTTAATCTATTGAGGTTGATCTTTCAGCATATCAGATCTAAATCATAATGACGGACACTATAAAGAATGATTTGAAAATTAATCATTCAAATGTATCAAGTGATTTTGAAAACAGTTCAGACTCATCATATGTTGAAACGCCTATACATTCATGGAAAGGTAGATTATGGGATTCATGGGATAAACCTCAAAAAGAACGTTGGTTCTTATTTAAATTAGATTTCCTACTAATGTTTATTGCTGGATCTGGTGTTTTCCTTAGATACTTGGATCAAGCCAATATAAATAATGCATTTGTCTCAGGTATGAAAGAAGATTTAAATTTATATGGTAATGAATTAAACTATGCAAATACTTGTTGGTCAATTGGTTATGCTATTGCACAGATTCCATCAAATTTATTATTATCAAAATTGAAAACTCCACATTATTATATCGCTTTCTTAGAAATTGGTTGGTCTGTTTTAACTTTTTGCTCTGCAAGTTTTAATGGTCCAAAATCTATGTATGGTATTAGATTTCTCATTGGTGTTTTAGAAGCTGGTCATTTCCCGGCAGTGATGTATATTGCAAGTTCATGGTATACAAAATCAGAATTATCGAAAAGAATTTCAATCATTCAATTTAATACTTCAACTGGTCCATTAATTAGTGCTTTTTTACAAACAGCTGCTTATAATGGTCTTAATGGTACACATGGTCGTGCAGGTTGGAGATGGTTATTCATTGTTGATGGTATAATTTCATTACCATTAGCTGTATTAGTAGTTTTCTTATTGCCTGATATTCCAAGAACTCAAAAACCAAATTGGATATTCTCAAATAAAGAAATTGAATTGGCTAAAAAAAGAGTACCAACAGAAGTTAAGATTCATGCTACTTTTAGAAAATCAGATATCTTAAGTTGGTTAGGAACATGGCATGTTTATTTTTTCAGTATTTCATTTATATTAGAAGCACTATCAGGATTACCATCAAGTTCATTACCATTTTGGTTTAAATCCTTCAATACAAAGACACATATTGAATATACAGTTGGACAAATTAATAATTATTCAGCTCCATTATATGCAATAAGAATCCTTGCAACTGTGATTCAAGGATATATATCAGATGATTTATTAAAAGGTAAAAGATGGATAATCATCGCATTCAACGGTATTGTAATGTTTTGTTTAGGGATTGCATTAGCAACAACACTAGTTCATCCTTCAGATCGTGCTGGTAGATGGACACTATATTATCTTATAGGTATTTATGCCAATGGTGCACAAGCATGGACATGGGTTAACGAAGCTACAATGGGGGAACCTTCTAAAAGAGCATTTGTTGGTGCTGTTATGAATGCTTTTGTTTATGCTTTTACTTCATTTGTTCCAATTTTTGCATTCCCAACTCAAGATCAACCTTTTGTTAAAAAGGGAAATATCATGTCTGCTTGTTTAGCTTTAGTTAGTGTTTTTTTTGCAATTGGTGGTGGTTATATTGAACATTTGAAATTAAGAAGTGGATTTTTCAGAAGTGTTCCACTTAAAGATATTGAAGATGATGGTAAAATTGAAGATTCTGAAGCAAGTGCAGGTGATGTGAAAAAAAGTTCAGAAAAAAATATTTGATGCGATAATCTCATGTTCACGTATATCTTAGAATCTAATATGAATTGAGTACTGTATGTTTTTCGAAAAGTTTTTCAATATTTCGAAAGTATGTAGCTGATGTTAATAGCATATGCGAATCAAGATTGATCATATCGAATATTAACAAAACTACAGATTGAAAAGCTTTTAGAGAGTATTGAATTTATATATTTCGGATTGACTTATATAGATATTATATATATATATATATATATTGAATTGATAATTTTGGATTGACTTATATAGATAATATATATATATCATATGAACCTAGTTCTTTTTGGCAATAACTTCACCATGTAGTAAGACAAACCAACTATAATCATCATCAGCCCATTGTTTCCATGCAGTTTCTAATTGAGCTTGATCATATTTATCTTCAGGCTTGAAATTTAATTTAGTTGATCTTTTAATATAAATTTCAGAAAACCATGATCTATCATATCTACTTGAAATACACCAAGTTGAGGTGGTATTGACAATATCTTCAGGTTTGAAACCAGCATCAATTGTAAATTGCTTCGATGTTGATGCTGCATCGATTGATGTATATTCTGATCTGATTTTATCAAAGTAATATTTGATTGGATCTTCATATTGTTTAGGATAAACCAATGCAGATCTTAATTCTGAATCTCTTAAAGCTAGATACCCACCTTTTTTCAAAACTCTTTTCATCTCTTTTAAAGCCTTTAAAGGTTCTGATAAATGAATAATAACTTGATGAGCATGAACAACATCAAATGATTCATCTTCATAAGGTAATTCAAAAGCTGATGCTTCTTCAAATTTAACTTTACCTCTTGGACCTGTATCACTATCCACTTTATTATTGATTGCTTCTTCAATTAGTTCACTTGTAGGTTCAATACCAATAATTTCACCTTGTGGAATATATTTTGCTAAACCATAAGTAATAGTACCAGGTCCACATCCAACATCTAAAATTTTATCTGTTGGTTTCAAATGTGGTAACAAATAAGCAGATGAATTTTCAGCAGTTCTCCAAGAATGTGAATTTGAAATTGTGGAATCATATCCATCTTTGTAATAAGTTTGGCCAGACATTGTAGTGATTTAAAGTTGTTTATCGATACTAAAACAATTAAGTATAAAATCTTGGGGATAATATGAAGAATCCAGCAAGTATTTATATTTTTCATTTTTCACAATAATGTGTATGTGTATGTTTATATAAATCGGACGATTTCCCTTACTGGAAGTTAATCCGATGCTAAATTTTGAAAAGCTGATCTGGAGTTTTTCCTACAAATCTGATTAGGTAAAATACGCGAAACCTCGGAATTGTAAGGTCACGTGCAATATTAAATG